CTTCTGGGTGAAACCCTTCGCCACGTATCGTGCCTTGAACAGTGGAGCTTCGCCTGGGAGTTGTTTGACTCGGAAGATCCATTTTCCGCCGACGATGTTGACACCGGAAGGGGGAACAACATCGTCAAAGCTGTTGTTGCGAATGAACGCCTCGTTCTCCACATCCATTACTGCCTTCCACTCCTTCTTATAAGGCCCCGAGAGAGCTTCCTCTTTTGTGCGAGGAGTCGGAATGGTCGGGTTCTCGGTGAAGTTGAGGGAAGGGCAGTCAGTAATGTCCGGGAACATGTGAGAGAGAAATTGGCAGACCGCGTGAAGGTCAAACAACTCCTCATGCCTGTCCTCCAGAAGTGCACGGGGGGGAATACGGATGGAGGGGACATCACCCCCGGCAGGAGGCGGCTGGTCCCCAGGCGAGAGGCGGAGCCGGTCCCTTGGAACGAGTGCGACTAGAGACCGGAGACGAAGGCGGCTGCGGTGGGACCGGAGGGACTGGGCGCCTCCGGTAGGAGACTGGTGAGCCGGGCTCGACGCGCGGGGAAGGCGGAGCAGGAGGAGGTGCCGCTGCGGAGGATACTGGGGAGGCCGGGTGAGACACGCCGGACGGAGAAGGCCCTGGAGAAGGGGCAGCGGCCGGAGGTGGGGCATCGAAGTCTGCCCAAACAAGCGTCGGGGGAGGTGGAGGAGGCTCGCCCGTGGTCGCAGAGTGGAATGGGCGTGTCTCATCGAAGACGACATCACGGCTGCGAATCAGCTGTCTGGTGATTGGGTTGAGGAATAAGTAGTCTGGGGAGTCGGAGTTGTGCCCCAGGTACATGCAGGTCTGGGTTTTGGGACCAAGCTTGCCACCTTGCTTCCTGCGCGTGTGGGGGCTTAGCAACACATACGCGGTACACCCCCAGACGCGTAGAGAGCGGGCGGAAGGCGTGACCCCAAGCCAGAGAGCGGTAGGTGTGGTGTCGGGCCGGTGGGGATGCGGATAAAGATTGTAGAGGAGTGCCGCATGGAAGAGGGCATATCCCCAGAGTGACCGTGGTGCATTGGCGTGACTGAGGAGGCAGCGAGCGATCTGAACCAAGGTGTGGTTGCGGCTCTCTGCAATGCCGTTCTGCTGCGGGCTTTCGGGGAGCGTGAAGGTTTGCCGAATCCCTTGGGCCGCACAGAAGTTATCGAGTTTGCCATTGCGAAATTCTCCCCCGCCATCAGAATGGAGGCACTTCAGAGGAGTGCCGAACGTGACTTGAGCCTGACGCACCCACGCCATGATGACATCAGGTGCCTCCGCCTTGGTATGCAGGAGGTGCACAGAAACATACCGCGAGTGGTCATCGACTAGTGTAAGAAAGTACCGATGACCGCCTCGGGATGCGACTGGAGCTGGGCCCCAGACATCCATGTGCACTAGGTCCAGCGGAGCAGCTGCGACGGATGGGGAGGAAGGGTGCGGCTGCTGCCTGAGCTTGCTCTTGGTGCAGTCCAGGCAGGTGGGTGCAGGTGAGTCTGTTGGTGGAGGAAGCGCCGACGGGAGGCCAAGAAGAAGTTTCTTGGAAGCGATGTCGGCAAGAGTACGGAAGTTGGGGTGACCCAAGCGATGGTGGTAGAGGATGGTTGGGTTGGCGAAGCTGCGACACGAACACGGAGTGGTGCTGGCAGCTTGCGCTTGGGAGAGAGCGGCGAGAGGTGCAGGTGAACGCAGCGTGTAGAGCTTGCTACTGTTGAGTGTGAAGCGTGCTAGGAGCTTGTTGGACTTAGGGTCGAAGAGGTCACAGTGATCCGAGTGTGCTGGGAAGATCGTGGTGATGCCTGCCCGTTGGAGCTCGTGTTGGGCCACGAGATTGTGGCGTAGTGTGGGAACACACATGCCGGTGACACTACCCGAAGGAAAGGCTGGGCACGGAACTGTGGAGGAGCCCTTGGCGCGTGTTGTGAAACTGGAGTCTGCTCCTAGTAGACGGATTGGTGTCTCGTATGGCTTGAAGGAGTGTTCTTCCTTGAGAACCGTGTGAGTGGCCCCACTGTCGAGGGTGAACTCTATCGTGGCTGAGGTGCTTTGTGAGCCGGGACACTGCGAAATTGTCTCATTAATCATGGCAGTGCCAGGGAACAACATGTTGAGGCGCACATCAGCAGTGGGAGCTACAGCAGCCTGCACGGATTCCTGCGCTTCGACTTGATTGACCTTGCGAGGAGCAAGATTGACCATCCAGCTTGGCGGTTTGGAGGCGGTCCCATTGACGGCATACCACTCGTCATCCTTCTTTTTGAAGCAGGAGGCAAGGGCATGGTTGGTGCCGCCACACACCTGGCCGGCACGAGGGCCGCGCTTGATGACATAGGGACACGGGGGGAAGCGGTTGCGCTGGAATGGCGCCGAAGCGGCATAGGCTTGAGGCACGGGAGCGCGGATTGCATTGGCCTTGGCTTGAGCGCTGTTGTCCTTTTCGGCAGAAAGGAGCGCGGATGAGACCTTGGCAAATGTGAGGTCTGCAGGAGCAAGGCCCAAGAGCATCTTGCGTGTGACTTCGTATGCCGAAGTGAGGCCGACTAGGAGAGCGGCTGCAGGGGCTTGCTCGGGGAAGACTATCCCCAACTGTTTGAGTTCACCATGAATGGACTGCACCTTGGTGACATAGTCCGCCATGCCTGGCGAGTCCTCGAGCCGCACTTGGAACATGCTGGGGATGAGTATAGCAACTCCCATCGCAGTCTTGTTCAGGAAGCGATCTTCGAGGTAGAGCCAAATGGCGTTGGCAGACGGGTAGTTGTGGTAGGTTTCGACGAGTTCGGGAGGAGTGGTGCCCATGAAGACACTAATGACCGCACCATCGGCCTTCTCCCAATTCTTGTACTTGAGCAGTGCAGCAGCATAAACTGCTTCGGCGGCGGCATTAGCTGGATCGGCGGACCTCTCGGGTTTAGGAGGCTCTTCACCGTCACCGATATTGAGAAGGACGACGGTGAGCTCGAGCCCCTTCACCTCGCGACTGAGGAGGTGCTTGTCGACACCATAGCGCCAAGCCTTGTAGTTGGAGCATGTGCCGTCCGGCTAGAGACGTAGGAGCGGGATCGGGTTGGCGAGTGAAGTGGTTGAGTAAGCCATTGTCGGTGTGCAGCGCGGCACTTCTGGAAATTGGTCGACGAGAATTGCTGAAAATCACTCTGACGGCTTTATCAAAATGTCGCTATGTCGGAAATGGCGTCGGCGAAAATTCGTTAAAACGCCGACTTGAAACTGAATCTGAGCCTACGTCTAACCCCGGACCCACACACCCCCCCACACACCCCCAGGCCCTGTCCCGCAGCTACACAGCTCCGCAACCAGCTCCACAACCAGCTCCGCAACCAGCTCCGCTCCGCATCAACCTGTGTACCTGCTCTTGCTTGACGCGAGACGTTCGTGGAGGCGATTTCGCGAGGGGAGTTCGCCTATTCTGGCGGGGTCTGAGGGGAAACTCGAGAACGAGTTTTAAGAGATGGTCGAAATTGAGATTCGACCAAGGAGAATCGAGGAGGAAATCGACGATGAGAAGCGTGAACGCTTCAGAGATGAGAAATTCAACGAGGTCGAGCGCGAAGGCGGTCGACGATGAGAGGCGCGACTGCAGAGTGGAGCACGTCGAAATTCCGACGACTCGAAACGAATGTCGCGACGATGAAGTGCGCGTAGCGCGGGCACGTTAAGATTAGGACCTTGATCCGCGTGTGCGGATAGGTCGCTCTGATACCATGTAAGAAATAGAGTTGAAATGATTAATTAGGAAAGGAGCCCAAGGCTCTATAAGTACATGGCAAGGTGAGAGTGAATGGATGAAGGGGGAATTGGAGGGAATCCCCATTGGGATCTCCGGAATCTCCAATTGGGTAATTGGAGATTGGGGGGATTACAATTGGGTGAGGTTGGGATTTGTGAGTACACCCCAACCCACTAGAACATTCATAACCTAAACTAGGATATAAAAGTACAAATACAAAAGTGGTATTTGCAGTCTATTTCTAACAGGCACAGGAGCTCCGCTGGCTGACCTTCTTGCTCACAGACTTAGGTGAGCGGCCTAGCTCTGCCCTAGTCCTGTACGCTGACAACAGGGCCATGATTCTCTTGTGTCAGGAGCCTCGACTTGAGGGCAGAGCGAAGCATATCCAGCTGCGGTGCTTCCTCCTGCGCGAGCTACAGCAGCGTCGCCAGGCCCGCGTAGTTCACTTAGCCTCAGGTGCCAACACAGCTGATGTCTTTACTAAGGCGCTTGCGCCTAAAGATCATCAGCGGCACTGTGTACAGCTTGGTCTTGTTCCTGTAGCTACTCACCTGATAGGACCCTGATTGTATACTCTCTATTATATATACCTGTCTGACTGGCCTTGTGGCCTTACCTCCAGTGGCTGGACTAGTAGTGCCGCCCTGACTTGCTTTAGTCTTCCTTGTACTCTTGCTGACTGGTCTCAAGACCCCTACCTCAGTGGTTGGACTAGTAGTGCCACCCTGAGATGCGTGCTTCTTGCTTAGCACCACCCCTTCTCTAGCCTAGGGGGTGTGTCAACTTATACATATGCTGTATGTAGAAGTTATAGGCTAGCCTAGGTGTGTGCTTCTAGTGAGTACAACCCCAACAGGTACATGTTCTAGGTTTCTCACACTAGTCCATTCATTCTCTTTTTCTAACACATACTGTATTAGCCATCTATTATGGAGATTTATCACAAGATGGCAGAAACACAAGGAACAGCAAACAAAAACAGCAGCACTGACACATAAGGTAGTGCAGGGAACGAACTGCTAAAGCTGATGCGTAAGTTGAAACATTTGTATAATAGTAGGTGGGTGAATTTTTTTGTGGTCTGGTTGAGTTGCTGTATAGCACAGCAATTAAGCGGCTTAATCTCTACTGCACCTTTAGCACCGGGGCATTCAATACCGCATTAGTCTTTACGCCCCTCGATTTTGCCGAGCACCTGCACGGAACACGGTTCATCCATCCATTCAACCCAAAGCACCACCGCTCGGGGAAGCATGGTTGACTTCCTAGCCAGCCTTAGGTACCATTGAATTTGGCGCTTGTTCGGGGAAGCATGTCAGGAGCTTCTAGATATTTCAGCCAGCCTGGCAGCTGCTGGTAATGGAACTCAAATTTAGATCGTACCCCGCTTTTCCAAGTTCTCTGGCCCAATGGCGGACATTTGCGATGAATCGCCAAGAGCTGGTCCGCTACAACGTGTAGCAAGGAACATTTTGACCTCATCTCCAGAAAAAAATACAGTGACTTTGCAGCCACCGTCGCCGCATGACCAGTCGCAGGAGTCGCAGGAGACGCCGCAGCAGTCGCAGCAGTCGCAGCTGGCGTTCGCGAAAGCGTTATTCCAGCGACTGCAAGCCGGCGCTCACGTTTTTCTCCCCGACACTCCCGCTTCTGCCGCTTCTGCGCACCTGGCGGACCTTCCGACCCCTCCTTCCGCCGTTCCTCCCCGTTGCCCCGCCTCCGCTTCCGCCGATCCCCCTGTTCCCGCTTCCGCTTCCGCCAAAGAGATCAAATCCGACACTGTATACCCGTTCAAAGAGGACCTCGAGGGGCATGGCTTGTATACAAACTTGAATGGGTATACAAGCTTTAATGGGTATACAAGCTTGACTGCAAGCTGGTGGAAGCCGATGGGGGAGAGAAGGACGAGGGAGGGAGGTATGGGGAAGGAAGAGGGGAAGGAGGAGAAGGGTGAGGAAGTGGGGGCGGAGAAGGAGAAGGTAGGGGAACGGACGGGGGCGAAGAGAGGAGAGAAGAAGCGGAAGGGCAAGTATGCGAATAATAGGCCTGAAAGGTTACTAGTGAACTCGGGGTTAGCAGATTGGGTTACCAGCCAGCAGCTGAATCTACTGGCAGTCACTGGGGGGGGTATGGTTGAGGGGGTTGGATTGGATGGGGTAGGGGAGGAGATTGGAGAGAGGACTGGGGTGGTTGAGGCTATTTTTGAGGCGCCTAAAAAATGGATGGTTGAGGCTGGGACAGCAAGGAAGGTGAGAAGGCGTAGGAGTGTGGAGGAGGTTGTTGCTCAGCTAAGAGCCAGTCAGGTTGGAATTGTTAGCACTCATATACGAGCCTGTTTGGCTGAAAGTGTTCGCACTCAGCTAAGCGGCAGTGATAGAGGGAGTGGTGGCGGTCTCGGGGTAGAGAGTGGTGCAGAGGAGCTGAAGAGCAGAGTGAGAGAAGGAGCGGGCGTTGCTGTTTCAGAAGGTGAGGGACATGAGAGACGTGCGAAGCAGCAAGAGTGCGTGTTGAAGGGAGGAGCGGAAGAGGAAGGAGGAGAGGGGAAAGAGGAGGAGAAGGAAGAGGAAGGAGAGGAGGAAGACGAGAAGGGTGGTGCTGAGGAGGTGAGGAGTCCAACGAGTGAAGGACAGGGTGGCGTTTCGGCCTGTGAGAGACAAGAGAAGAAAGGGAAGAAGCCGCAAGAGTGTGGGTTGGAGAAGAAGAAGCAGGATGGGAAGGCAGAGGAGAAAGGGGAGGAGGCAGCAGCGGACGAAGCCAAAGAAGAAAAAGACAAGAGAGTAAAGGAGAAGCGGGAGGGAGAGGAGGTTGCGGAGAAAGGGGAGGAATGTGCGATGAGGGAGAAAGAGCAGGAGGGGGAAAAGGAAGAGGGGGAAGAGGTAGAGGGGGAAGAGGTAGAGGGGGAAGAGGTAGAGGGGGAAGAGGGGGCGGACAAGAAGGGAGAGGCAGTTAAGGGAGAAGAGAAGCAGGAGGAAGGGAAGGAGGAGGAGGAGAAACCGGGGGAGGAGAAAGAGCAGGGGGAGAAACGGGAGGAAGAGAAAGAGGCGGAAGGGGAGGGCGGGGATGGCAATGCGGCAAGGAAGAGGCAGCGGGAGGAAGAAGTCGATTCCCCTTGGTGGTGGCGAGTTTTGGACGGACCTGAGGAGGAGGAGGGGTGGGTGGCAGGGGAGGGAGTGAGGAGGAAGCGGCCGAGAGAGAGGAGTGTGAGGGAGCTGCTGAGTGCCACGTCAGCAGTGGGGAAGCGGGTGATCTGGTGGCGGAACAATTATAAGGGGAAGGGGAAGGGCAAGGGGGATGGGGGCAAGGGGAATGTGGGAAAGGGGAGTTGGGGGAAGGGCCGTTGGGGAAAGAAATTTGAGGGGAAGGGGAAGGGGAAATGGAAAGGGAAGGGGAACGGGAAAGGCAAGTGGGCGCGGAAAGGGAAGGGGGAGGCGGAGGGGGAGGGGAATGAGAAGGGGGAGAGGAGTAATGGAGATGGATGGGCGGGGAGACTGAGGGGAAGGGAGAGGGGAGGAGGGGATGTTCCAGATACGAATGTGCCTGAAACGAAGGTGACTTTTGAGTTGCCTCGAAGGTCTCCAAGAGAGAGGAGGGGAGTGAATGCGCCAGTGCCAGATACGAAGGCAGGCAAGAAGGCAGACACGACGGCAGGCAAGAAGCCAAGCACAGGAGCAAATGGGAGGGAAGCAATTGCCTCGAGGGGAGGGAATTTCCAGGAGGAGAGGAGGGGAGGGAATGTGCCACTGCCAGACACGAAGGCAGGCAAGCAGCCAAGCACAGGAGCAATTGAGAGGGAGGCAGTTGTGACACGCCTCAAAACTAGGGAGATGGGAGGAGGGAATATGGCAGATGTTTCAAATACGAGGGAAAGGTCAGGAGCAGAGGGAGGGGGGGCTGCAAGAGGTGCGGGTACTTCAACGTCAGAAGCAAGAAAGGTGTCGGTAGCTGGAAGGGGCAAGTCACCAGCAGCAGTACGCGGAAAGGGGTCCGTAGGAGTACGAGGAGAGGGGTCAGCGGCAGAAAAGGATAAGGGGTCTGTAGCAGTAAGAGGAAAGGGGAGTGTCGCACGAAGGAGTGTTGCTGGTTTGGTGGCAGGAGGAGGGATGGAGTGTGAGGAGGGGGAGGGAGAGGAGGGGAAGGAGGAGGAAGAAGATGCAGAGGAGGAAGAGGAGGACGAAGAAGAGGAGGAGGAGGATGAGGAGGAAGAGGAGGACGAAGAAGAGGAGGAGGAGGATGAGGAGGAGGAGGAGGAGGAGGAGGAGGAGGAGGAGGAGGAGGAGGAGGAGGAGGAGGAGGAGGAGGAGGAGGGGAGGAGGAGGAAGAAGAGGAGGGGGAGGAGGAGGAAAGGAGGGAGGAGGAAGGGGGGAGTGAGGGCGGCCAGGAAGACCAGGGTAGAGAAGGGAGTGAGAAAGGTGGAAGAGGGGCGGCACGGGGGAAAAGGAAGTCAAGGGAGTGGGAGGAGAGGAGAGAAAAGACGAGGGAATGGGAGGAGTGGGGAGAGGCTGAAGGGGAAGGGAGGAATGTGAGGATGCGGGAAATGCAGGTGAGACAGGAGAAAGAGACTAAGGTTTCTCATATTCAACTTCAGGGGTTAGGGGTTGAGAGTGGGGAGGAGGGGGAGCGTGTGCGTAACGAGTGTGCCGAAAGTACCGGTCACTTGGAAAGGTCTGAGGCGCAAGGACACTTGGAAAGGTCTGAGGCGCAAGGTCACTTGGAAAGGTCTGAGGCGCAAGGTCACTTGGAAAGGTCTGAGGCGCAAGGTCACTTGGAAAGGTCTGAGGCGCAAGGTCACTTGGAAAGGTCTGAGGCGCAAGGTCACTTGGAAAGGTCTGAGGCGCAAGGTCACTTGGAAAGGTCTGAGGCGCAAGGTCACTTGGAAAGGTCTGAGGCGCAAGGTCACTTGGAAAGGTCTGAGGCGCAAGGTCACTTGGAAAGGTCTGAGGCGCAAGGTCACTTGGAAAGGTCTGAGGCGCAAGGTCACTTGGAAAGGTCTGAGGCGCAAGGTCACTTGGAAAGGTCTGAGGCGCAAGGTCACTTGGAAAGGTCTGAGGCGCAAGGTCACTTGGAAAGGTCTGAGGCGCAAGGTCACTTGGAAAGGTCTGAGGCGCAAGGTCACTTGGAAAGGTCTGAGGCGCAAGGTCACTTGGAAAGGTCTGAGGCGCAAGGTCACCCGTGTCCGAAAAGTGTGAGTGTGGGTCAATTAGTTGGCAACAAGCAAGGGGTAGAGCAGAGAGGGGAGAGGGCAGAAGGTCGGGAGGAGGAGAGAAGAGCAGAGAAGGGAAGAGAGAGAATGGAGTGGCAGGGGGGGGAGCAAGGAGGTGAGCGAAGGGAGGAGGAAGGAGAGCAGCAGAAGGAGCAGCAGAGGGAAGAGAAAAATGTGGAGCAAAGAGGGGAGCAGAAGGAGCAGAGGGAGGAGTGGGAGTCGCAGAAGGAGGAGAGGGAAAAGAAGGAGCAGAAGGAGCAGAAGGAGGAGCGGAAGGAAAAGTGGAAGGCGGAGGGGAAGGAAAAGCAGGAGGAAGGAGTGGAGGAGCAAAGGGAGGAGCAGAGGGAGCGGCACAGGGAGCAGCAGAACCCTCCAGATGTTGCTTCCCCTGGTGCCTTGGCTAGTTCTGTGGCGGCTCAAAGTGGGGAGAAGGGGCAGGTGCAGCCGTGCATTCCACCTGTTTCTTCCCCTGGTGATGAGATTACTGGTTCTGAAGCGCCTCAAAAGGAGGAGCAGGGGCAGGTGCACCCGAGCCTCTCAGATGTTGCTTCCCCTGGTGCTGTAATTGTAGAGGCAGACACTGTTGCTGCTGTCGTGGGAATGCCGACAGCAGCAGCAGCAACCGTGGGAGAATCAACAGCAGAAGCAGCAACGGCTGGGGCTTTAACTGCAGCAGCAACGGCTGGGGCTTTAACTGCAGCAGCAGCATTGTCCACAGGAGCACCACCACAAAAGGCAGCAGCAGCAGCATCACCATCACCACGAACAGTAGCAGCAGCAGCAGCATCACCACCACAAGCGGCATCAGCAGCAGCACCACCATCACCACCACCAGAAACAGTAGCAGCAGCAGCAGCAGCACCATCACCACCACCACCACCACCACAAATGGTAGCAGCAGCAGCCACTAAGAAGCAACCTGCTCCCATCATAGCTCAACGGGATGATACAGGTGCTGGTGAAGGGGGTGTGACAGTACAGGGTGTGGCAGTACGGGGTGTGGCAGTACGGGGTGTGGCAGCAGCATCACAAGCACAAACCGCGCCAGAACCATCATCACTGGCGCCACCACCACCGCAGGCAGCAGCACGATCACCGTCACCACAAGCAGCAGCAGCAGCAGCAGCAGCAGCAGTGGCCAACAGCCTCGCAGCTGCAGTTGTGAGTGATCGGGTTGATGGAGGTGTGGCTGATGGGGGTATGGCAGCGGCAGCAGCACCACCACAAGCACTACAAACAGCACCGAAAGCAGCACTGGGAGCAGCACAAGGAAAACCACAGGCAGCAGCAGCAGCAGCAGCAGCAGCAGCAGTTGCTGCTAGCATCCTCCCTGCTCCAACTGGGGGTGATGCAGGTGTGGATGAAGGGGGCGTGGCAGCAGCAGCATCACCACCACCAGACGCAGCACCAATACCACAGAGAGTAGCAGCAGCTGCTGCTGCTGCTGCCAACACCCCCCCTGCTCCAGCTACGAGCTATAAGGGTGATGCAGGTGTGACTGGTGGGGGTGCGGCCGAGAGGGGTGTGACTGAAGGGGGTGGTGGGACAGCGGGGCCACCACCACCACGGGAAGCAGCATCACTGCTGCAAGCACCACCGCCACAGAAAGCAGCAGCTGCTGCCAACAGCCTCCCCGGTCCATTTTCAGGCCAGCTGGGCGATGCAGGTGTGGCTGAAGGGGCCGAGGCGGAAGGAGGTGTGGCAGCAACAGCACCACCACAGGCAGTACTGCACGCAGCAGCTGCTGAAGGGGGTGTGACTGAAGTGGAAATGACTGAAGGGGGCGTGACTGAAGTGAAAGTGACTCAAGGGGGCGTGGTGGAAGGGGGTGTGGTGGAAGTGGAAGTGATTATAGAGGGCGTGATAGGAGAGGGTGGGAACGAGGGCAGTGTGACTGAGGGGATGATTGTTGAAGGGAGCATGACTAAAGCAGGCATGACTGTGAGTGGCGTGACTGTATGTGAAGTGACCCATGTTCCAGAACAAATGCATTGCTCCAAGCTACTGGTGGCATGCAATGGAGTGTGTCGGGCTTGCTCCCCTCAGAAGCAAGAGCAGAGGGAAGTGGAGCAAAGGGAAGGGGAGCAGAGGAAAGGGGAGCAGAGGGAAGTGGAGAAGATAAGCGCAGCACTGGGAGAGAACATGGCTGCTGCTGCTGCTGCTGCTGCTGCTGCTGCTGCTGCTGCTGCTGCTGCTGCTGCTTCTGCTACTAACGATGATTCTGATAGTGCTAACGCTGGTACCGAAGGAAGGGCCAGTCCACGTGCGGAAAGGGCTGGTGCGGAGGCAGGCACAGATGCAGCTTACCTCATGGCGCCACGTGGTGTTTCGGAGGTGGCCTGTGAAAGTTTTGAGTCGACTGAGTCGACTCAAAAGCTACCCTGTGAGAGGCTTCCAGAGGTTGCGGCGCTGACAGTTCAATCCATAGCCGCGGACACACTTCATCCCACCCTCACTAGCGGGCATGCCAAAGTTGGCACCTTGAGTCCTGCTGCCACGGCAGCTGCAGAAACGCCTGCAGCAGCAGTCAAGACAGAAGGACCTCTTACGAAAGAAGACGCAATGAGAATAATACCCAGCCCCACCGACAGCCATCCAGTTTTGACAAAACTACCCAGCCCCACCGACAGCCATCCCACCCTCACTAGCGAGCATGCCGAGGTTGGCACCTTGAGTCCTGCTGCCACGGCAGCTGCAGAAACGCCAGCAGCAGCAGTCAAGACAGAAGGACCTCTTACGAAAGAAGACGCAATGAGAATACCCAGCCCCACCGACAGCCATCCAGTTTTGACAAAACTACCCAGCCCCACCGACAGCCATCCCACCCTCACTAGCGAGCATGCCGAGGTTGGCACCTTGAGACCTGCTGCCACGGCAGCTGCGGAAACGCCAGCAGCGGTCAAGACAGAAGGGAGGCCTATAGTCGTGCCACCGGTGGCAGGGGGAACGGCAGTCTTACCTGCTGAAGCAGCCACAGCACCAACAGCAGCAACGGCAGCAGCAGCTGCAGCAGCAGGGAGGAAGCGGAAGAGGAGGAGGCTCAGGGCATGGCTGGTGGATGTGACTGGTCACACGCTGCTTCTCGGAACCTTCCCTGACGAGGAGGAGCGGCAGGCAGCTGTTTCCGGCGCGCTCATGCTGCTGACTCACCACTGCACCTCGCCAGGTGGACCTGCTGCTGACGTGGCATGCCAGGGACTGAGTGATGATGCGGCGGCGTCTCGAGGCAGGTCTGGCGGCTTGGCGTTTTGTAATACTAATGAGGACGTGGCAGCTAATGCAAGGTTATGCGTAGGTGTTGCTGAGACAGTGATGAATGGAAGGGGCAGAGCAAAGGAAGCATGTGTTGCTTTAGCTGCGGCCGAGAGAGCAGGTGACAACAGCCGGTCCAATATAGCCGAGACACGAGCACGTGAGGGTTCTCTAGCGGCAGAAGCTAAGGCAGAGAGAAACGGAGAGAGAACGAGGGAGTTGAAATGCGGAGCAAGACGAAAGGCAGAGAGGGAAGCACTGGCAGCAGACATGGCAGCGAGAGGGAAGCAGCAGAGGGGCAGAGATCAAAGGACTGTGGCTTTTGAGTCGACTCAGGGGTCCCCGGGACTCAAAAGTCGGCTCAGAAGTCATTCTGAGTCGAATCAAATGGCACTGAAGGCCAAGTCACTGACGGCAGACGTGGCGGGGAGAGGGAAGAAGCAGAGGGGCAGAGAGAGAGGCACGGCGAGAGCTGCAGAGAAAGCAAGCTGCTCAGAGATGCGTGAGGGTCTCGTTTTGAGGCGCCTCAGAACCAGAGATGTGAGCGCTGCAGTGCAAGTGAGCTGTTCAGAGACGTGTCAGGACGCCGGGGGAAAGGACGCCGGGGGAAAGGACGCCGGGGGAAAGGACGGGGGGGGGAGGACGCCGGGGAAAAGGACGCCGGGGGAAAGGACGCCGGGGAAAAGGACGCCGGGGGAAAGGACACCGGGGGAAAGGACGCCGGGGAAAAGGACGCCGGGGGAAAGGACGCCGGGGGAAAGGACGCCGGGGAAAAGGACGCCGGGGGAAAGGACGCCGGGGGAAAGGACGCCGGGGAAAAGGACGCCGGGGGAAAGGACGCCGGGGGAAAGGAGGGCGGGGGAAAGGGCGTCGGGGGAAAGGACGCTGGGGGAAAGGACGCCGGGGGAAAGGGTGCCGCGGGGTCAAGGTGTGAGACTGCTGGGGGTGGTAAGTTTCTACCGCTTGCGAAGGCAAGACCTGGGAGTGTTCCTTATGTTGTGTGTGACTATGACGAGAGTGATGCTGACGAGGAGGAAATGGGCTGGGACGGAGATTCACCTGAGATTTCCCCTGAGCATTCACCTGACGATTCGCTGGTGGAGAACCTGGGAAAATTGTCTGGGCAACTACCTGGCATGTGTGATGTGGCATGCGGATCGAATCTGCAGGCGAATCCAGCGAACAGCAATGCAACTGCTACTGCGACTGCAAATGCAACCGGAAATGCAACCAGAAATGCAACCAGAAATGCAACCGGAAATGTAACCGGAAGTGTCGCAAGGAAGCGAACTGGGGGATTGTACGGTACTGAAGATGTAACTACGTTGCCATGCAGTGGGCTTGCTATGGTTCTGAAACTGAACAGCATTGGTGTCGGCCTCCCTCTTGAATCCAAGGGGAATGCAGAAGAGAAAGATGAGACAGAAGAAGGGGAGAAGAGAAAGGCAGGTGACAGACTGAAGAGCGGTAGGGGTGGGTTTAGGAAGGCAAGGGGTACACAAAAAGGGGCAGCAGCCAGTGGCGCTAGAGCAGCTGTAGCTGCTACTGCCAGTGCTGCTAAGCCAGCTGTAGCTGGTACTGCCAGCGCTAGGGCAGCTGTAGCTGATAGTGCAGCAGTGCGCGGGCAAGGGAAGTTGGGGCCGGTGGGAGCAGCTGAGATTGCAGAAGCAGGTACGGGAGGAGCAGTGGCAGCAGCTGCAGCCGTGAGTAGAAGGGGCAAGCGAAAATCAGTGGGAGCCGCGGGGACTGCAGAAGCGGGTACAGGAGGGGCAGTGGCAGCCAGTGCAGCCATGTGTAGAAGGAGCAAGCGAAAACCAGCTGGAGTCACAGAGACTGCAGACGCAGGAACAGGAGGAGCAGGCACGGGAGGAGCAGGTACGGGAGGAGCAGGTGCGGGAGGAGCAGGTGCGGGAGGAGCAGGTGCGGGAAGAGCAGGTGCGGTAGGAGCAGGTGCAGGAGGAGCAGGTGGAGGAGGAGCAGTGGCAGCAGCTGCAGCCATGTGTAAAAGGAGCATTCAAAAACTGATGGATGCGGCAGCAGCTGCAGACTCACCTGCTGTGGAATCAGGCTCTGCTGCTGATGATGCTTCAGCAGTAGCTGCTGCTCAGGCTGCTGCTGCTGCTAATGCTGCTGCTGCTGCTGCTACTGCTGCGCGTGCTGACGATCCTGGCCCTGCAGCTGCTCCTGCACCTGCTGATCCCACCTCTGCTGCTGCCCCTCCTGCTGCTGCCCCTCCTGCTGCCCCTCCTGCTGCTGCCGCTCCTGCTGCTGTCACAACTTCTGTCCCCCCTGCCTCATCCATCCGGCCTTTGTCCGATCAGCATCACTATCGGATCTCTCATCTTCCAGGGAAGGAAGGGGACCGATGCTTCCATGTGATAGATAGGGTGCGCAGGAAGAAGATACCAGTGGAGTATGATTCGAGTAGGGAGGCTGCTGCTGCCCTTGCTGCCATTCGCAAGGTGATTGCGCATGTGGCACATGAAGCAAAGAGGCAAAAGTGTTGAGTTAAAATAGTGGTTGTATGTAACTAGTTCTTCAATGTCTTGTTTCTATTTCGTTGTACTGTTTATAGTATTTGTTGTACATCACAAACATCCACATTTGCAAACATTGTGCATTTTTGCAGTCACGTATTATGAAGTCGAATCTTGTTGCACCACATATACAGTAATTTCCAAAGTATTGGCGGTCATATCATATCCCTCCAGTCATATCTTCTATTTCCAATCTCCAACCTTACTTCCAACCACCCAAAATCAGCACTGCTAGTCTGCAACACTTGGAATAATTATAGTGCAGCTTCTGTTTCCTTTGACGGCCAAATAAGTATCCAACATAGTTGTCTTTCGACCATAAATTGGGAACCTCCAGCTCCAATTCCCACTTTAAATCATTGTTGTTACATCCCTATTCCATACCATCTTGAGAAGGTCCTGTCCCCTATGTGCCACTGCCTCTTCTTAGGAGTACCACTTTCATATCTCCCTTCGCCTCTGTACAACCCCATAATCAATAAACAAACAAATAGAACCACTGTCTCTCCTGCCCCTTTTAGTCGTCCTCTCACTGTTCTTGTTCCCTTTTCCTGATCCTGTCCGCCCCTCTTGGCCCAGGTTATGCAATCCTGAATTCCCTCGCCTGCCTCATCCGGCCTTCAGGTTTGCACCCCTCTCTGCACACCTTCCCTAGTTGTTCTTAATGCTGCTGCTGCTGCTGCTGCTGCTGCTGCTGCTGCTGCTGCTGCTGCTGCTGCTGCTGCTGCTGCTGCTGCTGCTGCTTCTGCTGCTGCTGCTGCTGCTGCTGCTGCTGCTGCTGCTGCTGCTGCTGCTGCTGCTGCTGCTGCTGCTGCTGCTGCTGCTGTTGCTGCTGCTGCTGCTGCTGCTGCTGCTGCTGCAGCTGCTGTTTCTGCTGCTGTTGTTTCTGCTGCTGTTGCTGATGCTCCACTCCTCTTGCCCCAGCCTACGTACACACCTTCTCTAGTAGTTCCTGCTGCTGCTGCTGCCCCTGTTCGTCCTTTCAAATCTATCCCCTATGCACACACCTTCTCTAGTAGTTCCTGCTGCTGCTGCTGCTGCTGCCCCTGCTCGTCCTGTCAAATCTATCCCCTATGCACACACCTTCTCTAGTAGTTCCTGCTGCTCGTACTGCTGCCACAGAAAGCGCCAGTGCTGCCACTATTGACTCCTTCCTTGCAACCATTGCTGCTAGAACAACCGTTTTCTGCTCCAGCAACCCATTTCTACTACAGCCACCCATTTCTGCTACAGCCACCCTTTCTGCCAGATCATTTAGGTGATGGGCTCCAACCACTCCTTTCTGCTACAGCCGCCCTTTCTGCCCGATCATTTAGGTGATGTGCCCTGCACTGTCACAGGCACTGAGGCCCCTATGAAATTGCTGCAAGCAATCGGTGTGTGGATTTTGCTCGCACCGCCTTTGCGCACTGATGCTGCTGTCACCTGCTGCTCTGGCCACCACTGTACTGCCAAATGCCTACTGCTGCTCCATGCCTCTGCTACTGGTGTTGAGTCAAGAGGTGGCTGATCCCCCTCTGAAGCTGCTGCTGGCAATCAAACTGTGTTTGTTGCTCGCATCACCACTGCGAACTGATGCTGCTGTCACCTGCTGCTTTGGGCGCCACTGCACTGCTGCTCCATGCTTCTGCTACCGGTGTGAACTCAAATTCAGCTGATCCCATTCTGAAGCTACTGCTGGCAATCGAGCTGTGGTTGTTGCTCGTACCATCCCACTGCTGCTGCTGCCACCTGCTACTCTGGCTACCAGTGTACCAACAATGCCAACGCAGACATTGCTTCTGCTGCCAATGCACCAATATGTTGTTGCTCACCCTCGATTTCTGAATGTCGCTCCCCACCATCCACTGTCACTGCCGCTACTGCTGCTGCTTATAGTGGTGGTAGTGGCAAAGGCGCTGAGCATGTTGCTCCCTCCGTTCAAATAAGACACCATCTTATCCCTCCTTCCCTCCACTCTCATAAAAAAAAAAAAAAGAATACGCCGGACATAAGGAGATGCGTGCATAGTGCATCGCTTGGATTCAGGTGCAAGCGTGTCCACTGCAGCAGCAAGAAAATAATATAAGGCGATATGTATTTGAATATACCGTCGTACATAGCATATGTTCGCCTATTTCACATTCGCTTTGCCCTTGTTCAACCTACGTGGATTCCCCTCTTTTTGTTTTAAGAAAATTTGTAGTTTGAAACACAACGTGTCTTCTTAAGAAATCTCGGGGGGGCACCTAATATCGAACCACAGTCTGAACCCCAAGATTATCGAAGCATCCCCTCCCCTGGCAGCCTGGCGAAAATATCGAGGTGAACAGAAACAGTAACAGGCAAATCCTTTTCTTTTTTACCTTGACTTGAGGTATTTCTCTTGAGGCATTGCTCGCTTGTAGTACCCAGTATGGCTCTAACTACAGTAGAGTAGAGCAATGAGAGCAGTCGGCTCAGGCATGGGGAACGATAGAGCACGCGTAAGGGAATCGACGCCGGAGTTGTGATGTAAGCTGCGGGTTTCCGGCGGTCAAGGAAGTGGCGTTCCAGTGAATTGCTCAACGCTTTTAGGGAGCTAATACCAGAAACACGAACACGATGTCAGCTCGCTCCCTGTACTGCTCAAACTTCAATGGCGTATTATGCTAGTAGTGGCAATGATGGCTGCTGCGGACGACCAATCAGAGCACGCCACGTTGTCAGCGGAGAACAGACGACCCGCAGCGGGAAGGAGTAACTGCTAGGGCGGAGATTAATTTCCGTTGTGCTGACGAAGCGCGTGGGAAGGAGGAAGGTCCTAAGGACGACCGCGAGTAAGGAAAACGCGGATTCTAGGTTTCTCTTTAAGGATAAGGCGGTAGCCACGGCTGGCGGTGGGTCCTCGTTAGAGTCTCAGGAAGGATGCGAGGATATAGGTGTCCGAAGACATGCTTATATCGGGGATGGCGAGAGCAGTCACGGAGTTGGAAGGTCAGGAGGAGGAGGAGAGGGATGCGGGACGGGTACCGAAGTCGGAAACGATAATTTGAGAAAACCGAAGATCATGACGGATAGTGGGAGCGCAGAGAAAGAGAAGAATGACTCGCTTACTCAGCTGGGGGAAGAGCAGCAGCAGGATCGGATGCAGAGTGAGGAGGAGCAGCAAGTGAGGGAAGAGCAGCGGCAGCAGCAACAGGCACATCTGCACCTGGACGATAGTCTGTTAGGCCTCCAGCACAGGCCTTCGGGCGTTGCTCCGTGGTCTCACAGCACGGCTCACGGCCGAGCTACTGGTCCCTTAGAGGACCCAAACAGGCTGGATGTGCAACCAGGTGGTACCAGTCCTTCAGGCCTCCTGCACAGGCCCTTGGGCCTTGCTTCACGGTCTCACGGCACGGCTCAGGGCTTAGCTGTGGGTCCCTTAGGGGAACCAGACAGACTGGATGCGCAACTAGGCGCAGTAACAAGAGATAAGGTGGTAACCAGAGACACGGTGGTAACCAGGGACATGGTGGTAACCAGAAACACAGTGGCAATCAGAGACACGCCTCTGGGAGGCCCAGGCACCACCGGTGGATTTAACAGCGCAGATCTGACGGCGGGGATTGAGCCAGACCATCTCCATCCAACAGAGAGGAATGGCCGAGGAGAGAGTCAGAGGCCGGCCAGGAGAGGTCATGGGATTGGTGGGAGGCTGGCGAGGGCAGGAGGCGAGGGGCTTGGAGGGAGATCAACGAGAGTAGGCGGGGCGGGGGGATGGCTCGCTGTGCACCTTGCTGCTGCTGGGCTAACGCCAAACGCCGGACTAACTCCACCTGCTGCTGCTGCGGCTCCTTCTCCTGCTGCTGCTGCTGCTGCGGGTGCTCCTGCGCCTGCTCCTGCTCCTGCTGCGGGTGCTGCTGCTGTCGCGGCGGCTGCTGCTCCTGGGGGTGGTGCCGCCGGTCGGTTTGTAGAAGGAAGAGAGGAGGCTCTGCTGGTGCCTGCGTTACACAGTGGGTTACACAGTGGGTTACACAGTGGGTTACACAGTGGGTTATATAGTGGGTTGCACAGTGGGAGTGGGGGGACAGGTGGGACTGAGGATAGGATCTTAGGCCAGTCAGATTCTGATGACCGACTTCCAGTAGGGGTTCTCCTGCCACGTCAGCAGCAGCATACTGATCGGCATCAGCAGGAGCTGCCACGTCATCTGCAGCTGCCAGCTCATCACCAGCAGCTACCGAGTCAGTTCCCACAACCCTGGCACATGTGGCACGACCAGCACCATCACCGTCATCATCACCATCTCAATCATGATCCCCCTCAGCGGCAGCAGAACCACCACCATCAAGAGCAGGATAATCACTCTCATAACCATTTTCTGCAGCAGCAGTTGCAGCATCGGTTGCAGCAGCACCACCAATTGCAACAGCGCCTGTTGCAGCAGCACCAACAGCAGACTCAGCAGCTTTACCAGGAGCAAGGGTGGAGGGGGAGGGAGGTGTTACAGGTCGTACCTGCTGGCTCCCTGCTCTTGAGCCTAAGGGGGAGCCTGGGGGAGGGTGGAACTGGGGAAGGGGGGACTGAGGAGGGGGAGGCTAGCGACCTGCGGACGGGTATGGTTAGAGAGAACAGGGGAGGGGCGGAGAGAGGGGAGGGACGGGATGGAGGGGTGGGAGGGGAGAGAGGGATTGGTGCAGAGAGAGGAGTAGGAGGGGGAACAGGCGTTGGAAGGTCAAGGGGAGTATGGGAGGGGAGAGGGGTGGGAGAGGAGAGAGGAGTAGGGGCGGGGAGAGGGACAGGTGTGGAAGGAAGGGTAGAGACGGAGAGAGGACTCGGGAGAGAGCCAACTGCAGAAGAAGGGAGAGGGGGGGCAGAGGAAGTTCCTGTAAGGGCGGGTTGGGGAAGGGAGGGTTTGAGAGTAGGCTTGGGAGAAGTTGGGCTGCTGTGGCGGAGGAGAGCGAGGGGAAGGGGAGGAGAAGAGGTGGAGGTGGAGGAGGAGGAAGAGGAGGAGGCTGTAGCAGGGTTTAGTCAGGAGGAGCGGTGTGAATGGGTGGGTAGGAGAGGAGTTGGGCTGCTTTGGCGGAGGGGAGGCAGAGGAAGGGGAGGGGAAGAGGTGGAGGTGGAGGAGGAGGAGGAGGAGGCTGTAGCAGGTTTTAGCCAGGAAGAGCGGTGTGAATGGGTGGGTAGGAGAGGAGCTGGGGAAGGGGAGTGTAGACAAGAGGATGAGGGAAGAGCAGGAGAAGGAGACGGGGGAGGAGGAGGAGAAGGAGGAGGAGCAAGAGGAGGAGGAGGGGGGGAGACAGAAGTGGCTGGCGATTTTACTGGAAATGGCTTTCCTCGGTCTCCCATTCCGAAGCAATTTTCTCTCTGGAGATCCACAGGAAGAAACCGAGCCAAGCCAGACGCAGGCTCGGCAGGAGGTCCGGGTCTAGGCCTGGAACTTGGTCTGGGAATAGACCTGGAGACAGGTGCGGGGGGGTTTCAGGCAGAAGGGACGAGTGCAGAATGGAGAAACCCGCGGGTAATTAGTGCTGTGGATTTTCCTGCACCTGCTACAGCTGCTAGGGGTGGACTTGCGTCCGTTTCTGCTGCTGTGGCTGCTCGTGTTTCCTCGCCCACTTCTACTGTAGCAGCTGGGGTGTCTGTCTCGTCCCCTGCGTCCTCCCTTGCCTCTCAGCTGCCTTTCTTGGGGCGTGGGTCGTCTTTGCATGGGCCGGAGTGGGGTAGAGAGGTGAGAGAAGGGAGGGAAAGGAGGAGTGGGAGAGGGGGGAGGGAGGGTAGGGAAGTGAGGGAAGAGAGGGAAGAGAGGGGCGGGGAAGTAGAGAAGGAGGAGAGGGAAGGATGGGACGAGCAACAACAACATGAGCAGCAGGAAGCACGGGCAGAGGAAGTGGGGTTGGCGTGCTTGCAGCAAGACGAATATGCCCAGGTGCAGCAGCAGACACAGCAGCAGCAGCAGCCGCAAAGCCAGCCACAACAGCAGGAGCAGCAGAAGCATAAGCAGCAGGGGGAGTCAGACCAACAAACACATCAAGCGGGGCTCATAGGGGCACAAGCGGGGTTGACCAGGGCACAAGTGCGGTTGACTGCGGTTGAAGCACGGGTGACAGGGGCACAAGCAACTATTGTCACTCCACCGCACATGGGAGGTCCCTCTGCCGCTTTGACGTCACTCCCCCAAACCTTACCTCGAGGATTGGGCCGAACCACGGACGGGTTCGGTGCCGAACCTCGGGCTCTGGCAAGCACAGCAACTGGCCGGGATCTCTCTCCTCTGCTACCTCGGAACGAAGGCAAGGAGAGTGTTGGGGGGGCTTTTAGAACTAATGCTTTTAAAGGAGGTGTTTTTAAAGGGGGTGGTTTTAAAGGGGGGAGTTCTACTCCCAGCGGGCAGTGGTTTGCCCGGCTCATCAAGCCGAAGGTTCCCGTGGTTGGGAATAGGATGATAGAGAGGGGAGAGGAGAGGGGGGCGGAGGGTGAAAAGAAGATTGGAGGTAGGCTCGGGGGCCAAGGGGTCGGGAGTGAGCAGCCTAGGATTTTAGGGTTTCCATTTCAGACAGCTCCGCAACAGCAACATCAGAACCAGTCGCAGCAGCAGCAGGAGCAGCAGCAGCAGCGAAGGTGCGGTGAGGAGGCAGAACCGAGCAGGGCAGGAGGGTGGAGAAGAGGAGCAGGTGGAGCGCAGCAGCCAGGGGTCGACGGAGGGGGGGATGGGAGGAGAAGGACTCAAGAACCAAGTGAAGTACAAGGAGCAGAAATCCGTAGATCTCCAAGCCCGCTAACCGTCCTTCAGTACCAAAGGTTCTCCTCATCGGTTAAAGGTGGATCTGGAGCAGCAGCAGCAGCAGCAGCAGCAGCAGCAGCAATAGGAATACCCATGCCGGGAGCAGCTATCCCAGGGGCAGCAATGTTAGGAGCACTTGTGCCAGGAGCGGCTACGGTGGGAGCAGTTATGCCAGGAGCGGCCACACTGAGAGCAGCCGGAAACCCTAACCCTAATTTGAGGCCCTTGACAAACCCTAATTTTGCCTCAAGCCCTTGGTCGAATCCTAACCCTAATCTCAACCCTTTGCGAAACCATAATTTGAGTGCTGGGCTTGACGTGGGCAGGGAGGCAGTTAGTGCCGGCGTTGGTGCGAGTGCAGTGATAGGCGGGGCTGCTGCTGCTGCTGCTGCTGCTTCGGTCCGTGCTTCTATTCGCCCGTCTGCTGCGGCTGCTGGTGCTGTTGCTAGGGCAGCGGCTGGTATGGAAGTGCTCCCAGCCGTTTCCATACCTGATGCAGCAGGTTCGGCAATCCACGCACCTGCAGGCTCGGACTCCCTTGTTGCGGCAAGTAGATGTGTGGGCGGGCCAGTGGCAGTAGGGAAAGGCGGGTGGAGGGCGCGTGGGAGGTGGCAGAGGGACAGCGAAGGAGATGAGAGGGGGGAGGCAGGGGAAGCGGCGGGTGAGGCAGAAGGGCCATATGCTGCAGGAGTAGTGAGGAGTGAGTGGAAGGGGGAGGCAGAAGGGCCGTATGCTGCAGAAGCAGTGAGGAGTGAGAGGAAGGGGGAGGCAGAAGGGCCGTATGCTGCAGAAGCAGTGAGGAGTGAGAGGAAGGGGGAGGCACGGGAGGCAGACCATGTGAGAGAGGCGCATATAGAGCTGCAGTTTGCTAAGGAAACTCGGGTAGGTGAAGCAGCAGGATTGCATGATTGCCTGGTGGGAACCGACGTAGGCAGGGGGGGCATGAGGGGCGTGGGGGAGTGTGCAGCGGGATTGCGGGATAAAATGCAGGATAAAATGCAGGATAAAATGCAGGATAAAATGCAGGATAAAATGCAGGATAAAATGCAGGATTGCCTGGGGAGAACGGGCTATTTGAGGTATGGAGTGACTGCTGCTGGGATGGCGATTGAAGGGGGCCGTAAGGAGGGGTTAGGAGGGAGGGAGGGGATGGGCGGGAGGGATGGTGTGGGAGGATTGTTGGATTTGCGGTTGGGGAAGGAAAGGGAAGTGCACGATGTGAGGGAGAGAGAGAGCGAGAAAGGGGATGGAGGACTGGAAAGAGAGAGAGAAGGCGGGAGAGAGCAGGGTAGAGGAAAGAGAGGGCGGGAGGAGAGTGACTGGGGTCAGAGGGAGAGGGGGGATCAGAGGGAGAGGGGGGATCAGAGGGAGCCTTCTAGGCAGGAGAGAGACGAGGGGAGAGGGAAGAGACGAGGGCATAGAGGGGTGAGAGACGGTGAGAGAACAGAAAAGGATAGAGAGAGGAGGATAAGAGATAAGGAGAAGGCATCCGTGGGGGGGTTGCTAGAAGGGGAGAGTTCTGCCAAGCTGGAGGCGCTGCGATTGTGGCGGCAAGAGGCTGCCAGGTGGCGCGAGGAGATTGGCCGGCAGGAGCGGAGCCTAGGGCTTGTAGGGAAGGGCGTGGGGATGTTGGGTGGGGGGAGAGGGGTTAGAGAGGGAGGAGGAGAAGGGGAAGGTAAAGGGGGTGGAAGAGGAAGGGAGGAAGGCAATGGTAGGTCAGAAGGAAGAGAGGGAGAGGAAGGACGAGAAGGAGCACGAGAAGGCATGGAGACTGGCACTGCTGCTGCTGCTGCTGCTGCTGCTGCTGCTGATGCTGATGCTGCTGTTCCTGATGCGGCTGCTGCTGTTCCTGGTGTTGCTGCTGCTGCTTCTGCTGCTGCTGATGCTGCTGTTCCTGGTGCTGCAGCTGTTATTTGTGCTGCTGCTGCTGCTGCTACTGGCGCTGTTGCTGTCACTGGTGCTCTTGGCCCCCCACCCCCCGTCACCACCCCCAGGTGCATGCTTCCCATTCTTGAAATCGGTTACCTGGCCCTCGGCCATTCCCTCACCGGGTCCTCCCCCCGCTGTGACTTCTGCGGCCTGCCCGGCCACACCCTGTTGACTTGCGCTGAAACGCTTGACTCTGAGACCTCTGCTCTGATTGGCCGGCTGGCTGCCAAGGGGGATGTGGATAGGGGGGTGGAGAGGTGGAAGAGGAAGCGAGAGGAGGAGAGGAGAGAGGAGGAGAGGAGGGGCGGGAAGAGGAGAAGACGGGGAGAGGGAGGTGGGGAGGAGGGGCGAGGAGAGAGGGGGAAGAGGGGTGAGGGGGTGGGTGGAGGAGAGGGGGAGGGGGGCGCTTGGGTGGTGGAAAGGAAGGGGCGGGGGACACTGGGGAAGGTTTAACAGCCGTTGGCGCTATAGAATCTGCAGGAGGTCTAGGGAGACTAGACGGGATAGGGGGGGTTGAGGAGGGGTTGGGGGAAGCTGGGGATTTTGGGGTGGTTGCAAGTATAGCAGGAATTGGTTCGTATCTGCCATATGGGGCATCTCGTCCCTCTTCCGTTCCGCCTGCGCTGGCAAGGGCTCTGGGCTTAAAACGAGGACTGGGTGTACCGAACAGCAACAGCGAAAGTGCGGGGCGTATGTCGAGTTGTGGGGGAAACAGTAACGTGCTTATGGGTGCTCTTGTTAGTGGAGCAGGTGCGCCTGGGGGAGGTATTATCGGGACTCCACGTGAATTGTTGTTGGGAGAAATCACTAACGCATCTGTGGGTGCTCTTGTTAGTGGGGCAGGTGCAGCTGGGGAAGGTGTACTTCAGCAATCAGGGATACGGGCAGCAGGAGCAGGAGGGGTGTTCTTAGCACCGCATGACTTGTGGGTTGTTGGAGGAGTAGGAAGTCGGGGAGCAGGGAGGCAGGGGGAGGTGAGAGAGGAGAGGGGAAGAGAAGAGGTATATGCTGCTGATGGTGCTGGTGGTGCTGGTGCTGCTGGTGATCATGGTGGTGCCGCTGCTGCTGCTGGTGCTGGTGGTGCTTGTGATTATGGTGGTGCTGCTGCTGCTGATGATGGTGATGGTGTTGGTAGTGGTGGTGTGGCCGCTGATTATGAAGAGGCAGCAGGAGGGGAGGAAGGTGAAAGGAAGGCTTGGAATAACAGTAAGGAGTCTCGGAGGGCGTATGGGGGGGTAAGCAGTCTGGCAAAGGATGTAGAAGGAGAATGTGAGGTGAAAGGGGTGGAGGGTGTTTTTGAAGGGTGTAATTCTCAAAAGCACCCTTCAAAGGATGTGGAAGGAGAGTGTGAGAAAGGGGAGGAGGATGGCAAGGGGGGAGGGAAGGAGCTGGGGAAGGGAGGAGCGGGGGGTTGCAGTGAGAATGGAGAGTTGCCTGGTGAGGCAGGGGCTGCTTTTGAGGCGCCTCCAAAGCGAAAGGGAGGAGCGGGGGGTTGCTGTGAGAATGAGGAGTTGCCTGGTGAGGCGGGGGTGGACAAAAGAGAGGGCGAGCAGATGGAGGAGATTGAAGAGAAGGGTCCGGAGGAGAGAGGGAATGGCGACAGGAAGGCAGGGGAGAGTAATGGGAAGGAAGACGAGCTGGTGGGGAAAGGCCGGGGAGGAGAGAGAGGAGAAGCGAGAGAGGAAGGGGAGGATTTGCAAGAGAGGAAGGAAAGAGAGGAAGCTAGTGAAGGGGACCAAGAGATGGAGAGAGGAGAAGAGGCAGAAAGAGATGAAGCGGTGGGAGAAGCCAGGGATGATGGGCCTACGCCCGTGTGCCTGTGGTGTCTGGCAGAAGGCCATTGGGCGGCGGAGTGTGCTGACCTGGCGAGGACCCGGGTGAAGCACGCAACCAGTAGCAGGGAGACTGGTGGCAGGGACACAGCTGGCACGGGCCGAGCAACCACTGGCACTGGAAGGGACACCATGGGTACAGGGAGGGAGACTACTGGTACGGGGGTTGGTACGGGGGTTGGTACTGGGGTTGGGACTTCGCTGACTGGGCCTGGGACGTGCAGGGAGGTGTCGAATACAATGACGCTGAGGGGGATGGTGTTATCAGGCAGGGAAGCAGTGGGAACGGGCAGGGAAACAGTGGGAAGAACAGTCAAGGCAGGAGCACCAGCAGCAGAGGCAGGAGAAGCAGCAGCAGAGGTAGAGGCAGCGGCAGCAGCAGAGGGAGGAGCAGCAGCAGGAGAAGGAGCAAGAAGAGCAGAAGCAGAGGCAGGGGAAGGTGCAGTGGTGGGAATAGATACGTGCATGCTAGATGATTTTGACGGTGACTCAAGGCAGGATGCCAGGGGAGGTCAATCATTTGTACAGGCACCTGGCGCTGTTTCATGGGACTTGGACTTGGAGCCAGTGGCAGAGCAAACAGCCACAGCAGCTGTAGCAGTAGAAAGTTTTGTCGGTGCCAAAAGGCGGGAAGCCAGAGCAGATAGAGCATCTCTACAGGCACCTGGTGCTGATTCTTGGGACTTAGAACCAGTGGCAGGGCAAGCAGACGTCGCAGCAGCAGTAGGAGCGGCAGCAGCAGTAGGAGCGGCAGCAGCAGTAGGGACAGCAGCAGAAGCAGGGCCGGCAGCAGCAGGGGCAGCTGCAGAGGTAGCAGTAGAGACAGCAGGAGAGGCAGCAGGAAGAAGTGCAGCAGCAGGCGCGTCGCCAGCTGCAGCGCACAGACCCACAGGTGCAGCAGGAGCAGCTCGGGCAACAGGGGAGGCCGTTTTTGAGAATTCTCAAAAACACCGAGCAACAGGGGAGGCCTGCAAGTCCATGGAAGCGCCTGACCAAGGGAAAGGAGAGGCGGGCACGAGGAATGTGGCTCCGGGAGAGGGAAATGCACGGGCAGATATGCCCTGTTCCTCTGCCCTGCTCCCAGGCTGGTTTGCCCTCTTTGACCTGAGTCCCACTTGCAGCACCGCACAGGGGGGCAGCAGCCTGCCCCCTGGCCTGCTCGCCTCCATAGAATCGTTGCGGCTCTCCCGAAGGGACGTTGTCCAGTAAGTTCCGCCCTCCCTCTCCGCACCCACCTTTCCCCTCCCTCAATCTCGTCCCCTCCCAACCTTGGCTTGCTCGTTTCCATAGAATCATTACGGCTCTCCCGAAGAGAGGTTGTCAGGTAAGGTCCGCCGTCCCCCAACTTGGTCTCGTGCTCCCCAACAGGGGGGCAGCAGCCTGCCGTGCCCCCTGGCTTGCTCGCCTCCATATAGTCATTGCGGCTCTCCCGAACCGAAGGGACGTTGTCCGGTAAGCTCTGCCACCCCCCCCTCCGCACCCACCTTTCCCCTACCGCTATCTCTTCCCCCCTCAACCCTGGCCTGCTCGTTTCCATAGAATCATTGCAGCTCTCCCGAGGGACGTTGTCAGGTAAGTTCCGCCGCCCCCCTTCGCACTAGCCTTTCCGCTCCCTCTATCTATCCCCACCAACCTTGCGTACACTCTCCTGACCACACCACTCCGACTCGACTGCTTGACCTCGCTCTAGGATCTGCCCTTCCACTGTGCCTGCAGATTCCGTGTGATGATAATCGTTTTCTGAGATTATGACACGCTTCGGCTGCTTGACCTCGCTCCAGGGCTGTCCGTCCGCTGTACCTGCAGATTCCAGATGATGAAAATCATTTTTTTAGATTGTCGCATGATTCGGCTGCTTGACCTTGTTCTAGGGTCTGTCCTTCCGCTGTGCCTGCAGGATTCAAAGCCATCCAGGTGTCAGGGCGCGAGTGGTTGGCTTCTTCCTCCGCCTCCGCTTGGGCAAGAGGGAGGAGGATCTGGGCGGCACTGGTTACCGCATGGCCAAAATACTAGGTTTGTAATGCATGTCCTGGCACGGCTTGTGAAGTTTTTCTTCTCCCTTTTGGTTGTCTTCTTTATTGTTTTTGGTTTTTTTTGTCTTCCCCAACAATTTTGCTAATCCAGTTCTCGTCATTCATTCCTTTGAGCACCCAGTGCCCTTTTCTTGTGCTTTCACAATTGCTCCTCGCACGTCTCGCACCTCGGCTTACTTTTGAGTCGACTCAAAAGTCAGCTTTTGAGTCGACTCAAACGTCACTCATTCCTTTAATCATCCAGTGCCCTTTCTTGTGCCTTCACACTTGCTCCTCACACGTCTCACTCCTCAAACGTCTCGTTCCTTGGCTTCACAGGTGTCGTGCGCAAGCAAGCCGTTGAATCCTTACCCGCGTCCGCCGACTCTTTTTTAGAGGCACCTCAAAAAGCATCCAATGCCCTTTCTTGTGCTTTTACACTTCTCCCTACACTTCTCGCTCCTCCGATTCCCAGGTGTCGTGCGCAAGCAAGCCGTTGAATCCTTACCCTCGTCCGCGGACTCTGCTGGAATGGCGCTTTCTGTAGATATGGGTGACGGGGAATACACGGTAGACGGCCATTACGTCTCCAACAAGCCTTTCCTCGAGGTGAGCATTGTGTCGTTGCGGTGGGAGTCAATCTTTGTGTTGAGCTGCCTTGTTGCTTGCACGTGGGACAATTGCTTACCGCGGCTCCCCCTTCGTTTTATCCTTGTGAGCTTATGGATGTTATATATGAACTTGTTTTGTTTTAATTTGTCAAATCATTTGTGCAGGTTGAGGTTCTAGAGTGGTGTAGAAAGATATGGCTAAAGGGTGGAGCTGCGTTGCTTGCTCCCATCCTCTCTTCAAAGGATATGGAGTCCAAGATTTGTGAGAGACGCAGCTGGAGCTGAAAGAGGGAAGCACTAACAGCATGGAAGTATGAGCATACATCATTTCAACATGTGATTCCAATCTGTTTTTGCTTTGTTGCTTGTTTTTATCATGTATTGTTTTTCCACTAGAAAGGGTGGAAGGGTGGTTCTATTCTATTATCTCTCCCATCGTCATAACCAGGGCAGTGGTAGGTAGCTTCAGGGCCTTGGGGGCGCGTACACAATGCGGGTCAAGCCCGTCCTCCCCACTGGCTGCATTCAATCAATCCAAATAACGACTGACTACAGTACAGTAAAGCAAATGTTCAGGTAAAATTCAGGCAGAAATACGCAGATGTGCGTGTTGAGGAATAGCCTTCTTTCCCTCCTGCCAGTTTGAAGAGGGTGTGCCCTCCACCAGCCATCACTGGTGTGCGATGCTCCCATTGGTTGGGTTGGGATGGTTGGAGCCACCTCCCCACCCCCCACCCCCTGGCCATACTGGCGCCTACTTGACCCTACTTGGGCTCGGCAATGTCGAGGGTCGAAATTTGAGTGGCTCGGCAATCTCGAGGGCCGAAAACTGGGTGGCTCGGCATTCTCCAGGGCCGAGATTGCTGGAACGCTCTTCAACAACATTTCGGTGAGGTGTCCTTCTCACGACGTTTGCCCTGAATCTCTGTATCACCTGGCGAAATGAGAGATGCTTTCTCATTCAGAGCGAGTTCATCAAGAGTTCTATCCGCCCCAACCACATTCTGCAGCCTCAAGAAAGCCTCTAAAATCGACCCATGTCAGGTCATCGGCTGAAAGTTAGCTTTTGAGTCGACTCAAAAGTCATCTAGTTAGCTCCGCGTTGTCGACGCTTCCCTGGTCCGCTTGCTTCTGCTCTAGTCACGCGTTTCCAGTCAGCGGGCCTTTGCCATCCCGATCTGCTGATTGTTTCGTTTAGAAGTGTCTTGATCCGGTCATGATATTCGCCGTCGTCCTTAGTCTAATACCCGTTAAAAGCGTCCTATCGTAATGCGGAAGAAGATCGCAAATTCCGAGCTGATCCTGCGGGAGAGCATGCTTGAATGACCCTATCGCAGATTAGCGACTCGCCATTGTCGCTGCTTCCCTTTCACTTGAAGACATTGGATCGTCGTAGATTCTCCAAGTAACGTCCATCACCACCGTTCGTTCTGCCACTCTCCAAGTTCCTGGTGTACAATACGCAGCACAAGATCATGCTTGTATCGCAGTAGCCGACATTGAGGAAGCATTTTTTTCTGTCTCGAAATCAGCGACGTTCGTAGCATTCTAATCTCTTGTCTGATCGTGAAGGCAATTTATCCTCAAAATGAGGCTACACCCCAGTAAAGGAGGAGCCGCCTCCTTGAGAGTAGGCTCCTCTCGCGCCGTCTTAGCCTCTCGCGTACCCGTCCCTAAGGGACTCCGGCCAAAACCCCCTCCGTTAATCGCTCTCTTCACCTCCCCCGCGTTCTTCCGGCTTTTAGTGGTCCTCCTGGCTCTCTCCTTCCTCACCCTAACTGTTCTCTCTTTTGTCGAAATCGAGGAAGACACTGTCGAGAACGCGATCACCCGGCAGCTTATGAGTGCGGACGAAGACGACAAAGGCGGAAAGGGATCGAGCAATGACCTAGGGGTTCACCTCGCGAGAGACGAGGAAGAGCTACCTGAGCAGCTGAAGCAGCGGCAACGGCAGCTAGACGGCGGAGACGGCGGAGAATCGGGGGAAGCGGGGGGAGCGGGGGAGGGGGGCGGGGAGGACGAGTCCGGCGGGGAGTCCGGCGATCAGAGCGACTCGCTGCACGTGCACGTGCATCTGATCGCGTCGTGCGACGTGGATTCGGTGGAAGAGAGCCTCGACATGCTGCAGAGCAAAGTGCTCTGGGACGAGCACTACGTCCCGCTCACGGTTCTGCTGGACTGCCAGTACGTAAAATATACACCTTCTTCGTTTTCCCGATATAATTACAAGTCTTAATGCATCTACAGTAGCGCCTGATGACGTGGATTCTGTGGAGGAGAGCCTCGACCTGCTGCAGAGCAAAGTGCTCTGGGACAAGCACGATGTCCCGCTGACCGTCCTGCTGGATTGCCAGTGAGTAAATACTTGACTGTGTTACTACAAATTCCAACGTCAACACGAACACAAATGCGAGTACAGTAGCGTCGTGTGCGCTGGAATCGGTGGAGGAGAGTCTTGACATTCTGCAGAGCAAAGTGCTCTGGGACGAGCACTACGCCCCGCTCACGGTTCTGCTGGACTTCTAATTTGTGCTCTTTTTTGTGGGACGAGCAAAACTACAGATTTGTGCTATTTTTTTACAATGTGCTTCAAATGGAAATGCAAATGCAAGCACCATAGTGTCGTGTGTTATGGAATCAGTGGAATCAGTGACCCCAATAAAAATCGAATCAGCAGCAATACGGTCTGCCACTCACCAACACCTCCCCTCCCCCCTCCCCCCTCCTCCCTCCCCAACCCTCCCCCTCGTCTACCCCTTTTATAGCGACCCCAAGTACGGGTCAGTCGTGCTGCTTGCCACTCGCCGCGTGCAGCGGCGCTTTACGCCCTGCACTGTTTGATCCGATCTTCTTTCATGCGTGTCTGCTCCATACCCCCCTGTTTCTGCAGCGACCCCAAGTACGAGTCAGCAGTAATGCTCGCCACTCGCCGCGTGCAGTGGCGCTTTGGGCCGTACACCGTCCGATCCAACGCCCCTTCCATCGAAACCACCACCGCCAGAACCGCTGCTGCGGCAGGCCTCAGGGGAGGGAAGGGCGCTGGTGCAGGTGCAGGCGCGGGCGCAGGAAAAGCAGGAGGAGGAGCAGGAGGAGGAGGAAGTGGGGGTGCCGGTGGTGGTGGTGACGGGGATGATAGCGGGTGGACTGTTGTGTTTCCGCGAGACCGAGTCACAGCTGCTGTTTTCCAGAGGCGAAGGCTGCTTGGGTGTAACGAGACGGGGGATGGAAGCGGGAGCAGTGGGAGCAGTTGTGGCAGAAACTTTGGGTTCGGGTTTAACGAAACTGGGGACTGGGTAGAGGGTTTATGGGCACCTGGAGGGCTTGCACAGGGCCAGACTGATGTTCTGCTGGAGGGGTTAGGAGAGGGTAGTGTGGGTCTGGGGCGGCACCTGTTAGGTAAAGCGGCAGTGGTGCCAAAGAAGGGCGCCGGTGTCACAGCAAAGGGGGGTGCAGTTAAGGGGGCTGCTGCCAAGGGTGGTGCAGCAGCAGCGAAAGGTGCAGGAGCAAAAGCTGGGGCAGCCAAGGCTACAGCTAAGGCTACAGCTGCTGCTACAGCCAAGGCTACAGCTGCAGGCACCAAGGGAGCTGTTGCAACAGGCGCAAAAGCAGGAGCCAAAGCAAACAGCGGCGGGGGCAAAGCAGCCGCCACTGCCACTGCTGCTAAGTCTGCTAAAACAGCTGCTGCTACAGCCGCTACAACAGCTGCTACAGCTGCTGCTACAGCCGGGTCTGCACCCAGTGCCAGCAGCGAGCTGACAGCCCTGGGCTTTCTGGATGCCTGGCGGCCGAAGTCTGCCCTGGGGATCGCCTTCTACCTGCGGGACTCGGCGCGCGTGTCGCCCTTCTTCTACCGCTTCCTGGTCGACTCAGTGGAAATGCTAGCAGGGGCGGCACCCCCCAGCGACGATGGCAGTGACAATGTCGTCGAGCTCTACTCCTCACCGCCTTTCTCCACGCTGTTTGGCATCAATATACTGGACCCAGCTACTGTACCCGGTAAGAAGATTATCTGGTGAGGGGGTCTATGTGTTTGGTAAGGCTTGGTACAGGTGAGGCGGAAATCCGCCCTGGGGATTGCCTTTTACATGCAGGACTCGGCGTGCTTGTCGCCCTTCTACCGCTTCCTGCTGGACTCGGTGGAAATGCTGGCGGGGGCCACCCCCACAACAAGCGATGATGGGAGTCACAATGTAGTTGAGCTGTACTCGAGCCCGCCTTTCTCCACCCTCTCTGAGATTAACATACTGGACCCGGCTACTGTACCACAAGTACTACAGGTAGGGGGAATACAAGTGCTAATCAGTAAGGCTGTGTTTTGAGTCGACTCAAAACACACCTGGACCCGGCTACTGTACCACAAGTACTAAAGGTAGGGGAAATACAAGTGCTAACCAGTAAGGCTTGTTACAGGTGAGGCTGAAAAGAAGGAAGCAAGGAAACGAAGAACTGTACTCCTCCCCACCCTTCTCCACCCCCTTTGGCATTAACATACTGGACCCGGCCACCCTGTCAGGTAAACCATTGTGACAGAGGACTGTGCTCCCACCCACCCACCCATCCTAAACCTGGTTAGCGGAATGGTTTGCAGCACCAGGAACTAGGTGATCCTTGAGATTTCTTAAAAAAGCACCTACACCAAGCCCTAACCAAACCTTCACTGTCATTCCGTCTTCCCAACCCGCTGTGCTTTGCTTTCCTCCCCGCCCCCCCCAAATATTTGCCCCATTTCTATCCTCTCTCTCCCCCCCAGTTGCCCAGCAGCCCCCCCCAGCGTGGCACGTGCACCAGTCGCTCACCATCGACTGCCAGTTCGTCTTACCAACCCCCTGTGCTCTTCTTTCCTTCCCTCACATACCCACCCCTTCCCCTCTCCTTCCCAGTCCCCCAGCAGCCCCCCCCAGCGTGGCACCTCCATCAATCTCTCACAATCCACTGCCAATTCGTCTTCCCAACCCCCTGGGAGGAGATCCTGCACTGGCTGCTTGCTTCCTCAACTCCTCCTCCCCTCTCTTTGTCCCTTCCTATCCCTTCTTTCCCCCGCAGTCCCCCAGCAGCCCCCACCGGCGTGGCACCTGCATCAGTCTCTCACCATCGACTGCCAGTTCGTCTTCCCAACCCCTTGGGAGGAGATCCTGCACTGGCGCCGCTCCTTCCCCAATGCCTCCTTCTCCCTCTCCTCCTCAGTCACCCACCTCAAAGACGCAGCGTTTGCCATCTCTGCTGTAGCAGCCAGCCGGGAAGGTTCAGTGAATCTTCAGGGGAAGTTCGGGGGGCGGGGAAGGGCGGATCTGGGGACGGATTACTTCACCAAGACGTGTCAGGCGGATTCGGTGCAGCAGATACATTCGTTACTCGATAGCCACGGGCGGTTTAATCTCCTCGCGTCGGATATTAACGGGAGCAGTATGTGCGTGTCGCTGGCACCGATTCGGAAGCAGGAGGAGCGAGTGAAGGGGATTATGGCCGCAGCAGCCAAGGGGAGACGGAAACTGAACAAGAAAGAGGTGGCAGAGGTTGATAAGGCGAAAAAGGCCAGGGAGACGGTACTCTCGAGGCTGTTCGACGACCCGCATTATGCCCTGGGGAAGGAAAACCCTAGAGTGGTTCGAGCGCTGGAAAAGAGCGCGGTAAGCGCCGACGCTTTGCTAAGAACGCCCCGAACAGACATGTGCGGGCGGCACGTGCGGCGGGGGTTGTACGCGCAAGACGTGAAGGGGCTGAGAAAGATGCTGTCAGTTATTCACCATAACAACACGGTAGTGGCAGTGATGACTAGTGTGGGGTTCGCTGACATGCTCACCAACTGGCTGTGCTACGTGAAAGAGCTTGGTTTCACTAATTTCTTTATCATTACGACCTCTGCGAAACAGGCTCTGGATCTGTTTGCGAAAGGGCATGCTGTGTTTCTCCTGCGCCCCTCGTTTATCCACCTCAACTCCTCTCTCCCTAACTCCCTCTCCTCCTCCTCTGGTGCGAATGCGGCTGCTGCTGCGCACTTGAGAGCAGAAGCGTATTTGCAGAGCGCAGGGGGGACTGGGGGGGGCGGACAGCAGCAGCAGCAGGGGCAGGGTTTACAACAGCAGCAACGTGGGGGTAGGACCGGACGCGCGTTGCTAGGATTTGATCCGGCCGGGCTGGGATTTATGCAAAAAAGCCAACAGCTAGGGCATCTAGAGCTAGCAGCCAGCAGCGTAGAGAACAGACAACTAGGGTTCGACGACCACGTAGAGGAAGGAGAGGAAGGCTCAATGGCCGAATGGATGGAGGGTAGGCACGGGAGCAGGGTACTGATGAGTGCTAGTGGCGGTGGTGGATCAAGAGGGGAAGGAGGAGGAGGAGAAGGAGGGGAGGGCGGGAAGCGGAAGGTCAAGTGGGGGTCTCGGCTGGTGGCTGCAGCGAAGGCGATGAAACGGGCGGCAAGGCGGGTGGCGACTGCGTCTGGTCTGAGGCGCACTCCCAACATCACTGTGCCGTTTTCGATGGAATATGGCGGGATCGGGTACAAGCAGGTATGGAGCAAGCATGTTGGGAGCAAGTAGGTAGGGAAATAACCGGCAACCCAATATTACCCTGTCCTCTTCCATCGCCAACCCCCTTCTGCCGCCTTTCTCTCCTCCCTCTCCCCTTTCACCACCTCCCCTGCCGCCTCTCTGCCGCTGCCCCCTACAAGCAGGTAGGGAGCAAGCAGGCACCCCAATATTACCTTCACCTCTTCCATCGCCACCCTCCTTCTGCCGCCTTTCTCTCCTCCCTCTCCCCTGTCACCCCCGCCCCTGCAGCTTCTGCTGAAGCGCACGCGATTGGTCGGCTCGATTCTCAGGATGGGGTACAACGTGCTCCTGGCTGACGTGGACGCGGTGTGGCTGTCAGACCCTTTCACTCACATGAGGAACAAATCAGTGGACATATATGGGCAGGTGACTTCACTTCCAGGAAACCCGTGTAGGTGAGGTAGCATGCAGTAGGCAGTGGGCCACTCCCTCCCTGCATTCTCAAGATGCGGCGCAACGTGCTCCTGTCTGCCTGACTTGGACGCGGTGTGGCTGTCAGACCCTTTTACTCACAGGGGGAACAAGTCAGTGGACATATATGGGCAGGGGGGTTGCATACGGGCTACAGATTCGTGGACATATGTGACCAGGTGAGGCAGTGGGCTGGGCCGGTGGGGCAGTGGGCCGGTGAGGCAGTGGGCAGGTGAGGCAGTGGGCAGGTGAGGCAGTGGGCCGGTGAGGCAGTGGGCCGGTGAGGCAGTGGGCAGGTGAGGCAGTGGGCCGGTGAGGCAGTGGGCAGGTGACGCAGTGGGCCGGTGAGGCAGTGGGCAGGTGAGGCAGTGGGCCGGTTAGGCAGTGGGTTGGTGAGTCAGTGGGTCGGTGAGGCAGTGGGCCGGTGAGGCAGTGGGCCGGTGAGGCAGAGGGCAGGTGAGGCAGTGGGCAGGTGAGGCAGTGGGCCGGTGAGGCAGTGGGCCGGTGAGGCAGTGGGCAGGTGGGCTGGTGAGGCAGTGGGCCGGTGAGGCAGTGGGCAGGTGAGGCAGTGGGCAGGTGAGGCAGTGGGCAGGTGAGGCAGTGGGCCGGTGAGGCAGTGGGCTGGTGAGGCAGTGGGCAGGTGAGGCAGTGGGCAGGTGAGGCAGTGGGCAGGTGAGGCAGTGGGCAGGTGAGGCAGTGGGCAGGTGAGGCAGTGGGCAGGTGAGGCAGTGGACCCGTCCCTAGATTCAGTTGGAGCCCTCTGGTGGGCTCTGTGGCGGCGTCGTCCTATGCGACTCTCTCCCTTTCCTCCAAAGTCCCCCTTCCCATTCCTATCCATTCCCCCCACCCTGGCACATCTCAGCTGGAGCCATCTGGTGAGCTGTGCGGTGGATTCCTCTTCCTGCTATACTCTCCCTTGCCTCTCAAGTCCCCCTTCCCTTTCCTATCCATCCCCCTCCTCCCTTCCTGTTTTCCCTCTCTCCCTCCCACCCAACCACTCTCAGTTGGAGCCCTCTGCTGAGCTGTGTTGCGGCTTCCTCTTCCTGCAGTCCACGCCTCATGTGACGATCCAGGTTAAATATCCCAGCCTTAGCTCCTTAAAACCGCACGTCACCCCTCCCGACCTCCCATCCCCCTCCCCGCCACCGACTCTCAGCTGGAGCCCTCTGGCGAGCTGTGCGGCGGATTCCTCTACCTGCGGTCCACCCCTCGTGTGGTAACCCTATGGGACCAGATTACGGGGCTGTACACGCGCACGTTCAACCGCATGGCCAAGGAGGCGCTGTACAAGAAACCAGAGGAGATGCAGGCTTGGCTCAAGGTGAGATAGTTGTAACGACGTGGTAACCCTATGGGACCAGGTTACAGCCCTCTGGGACCAGGTTACAACCCTATGGGACCAGGTTACAGCCCTATGGGACCAGGTTACGGGGCTGTACACGCGCACGCTCAACGGCATGGCCAAGGAAGCACTGTACAAGAAGCCAGAGGAGATGCAGGCTTGGCTCAAGGTGAGAGAGATGTAACGGTGTGGTAACCCTATGGGACCCCAGGTTACAGGGCTGTATGGCTGAGTACTCAACCGCATGGCCAAGGAGGCGCTGTACAAGAAGCCAGACGAGATGCAGGCAGGCTCAAGGTGAGATGCAACGATATCCTGGTGATGTGTATGCTGCTTTAAACGAGATGTAACGATGTGCCAAAAGAGGTGTATTTCTCCCGCCCGCCCCTCCTCTCTCCACCCCCACTACTCAGCAATTCGGGTGTCTGCACGAGCAGCGGTACTTGAACCAGCTGGTGGGGAAGAGGCGGTCAAGGGCTGGGCACTAAGTTCCCCAACCCACCTTCCCCTTCCCTCCCCAACACTGTCCCTCCCTCCCTCCCTTCCCTCCCCCTACTCTTCTCACTCAGCAATTCGAGCATCTGCACGAGCAGCGGTACTTGAACCAGCTGGTGGGGAAGAGGCGGTCGAAGGTGCGCGTGCAAGGGCTCGACACCCTCATGTTTCCAAATGGGAAGGAGTTTTTCGTTCAGCGCGCTCCACAACAAGCAGGGATCGCACCAGTGGTGATCCATAACAACTACATCAAGGGGAAGAAGGTGTGTGTGACTGTATTGGTTGTGACTGCTGGTTGTGACTGTATGGGACATGCACAGGGCAGCACTCCCCCCTCAAGTTCCCCAACCGAAAGGCTGTACAGTGGGAGCTGCTACAAGGTGGGGATCGCACCGGCGGTGATCCAGAACAACTACATGAAGGGGAAGAAGATGAGCGTGACTGTAATGGTTGTGACTGTGCTGATTGTGACTGTATGGGACATGCACATGGGCAGCACTCCCCCCTCAAGTTCCCCAACCGAAAGGCTGTACAGCGGGCACTGCAGCAAGGTGGTGATAGCACTGGTGGTGATCCATATCAACTACATCAAGGGGAAGAAGGTGTGTGTGATTGTGCAGGTGGTGTGATTGTGCCATGTGCTACTGTGATTCATATACGTGTCACTTTATGGGACATGTGATTGTGGTATGCGTGATTGTAATGAAGTTTCCTGGAAATGAGACATTAACAACTGTGTGTGAAGGTGCACATAGCATCCATGGGTATAACTTGCATGTGATGGTAATGAATGTAGTTCTTCTTTCTGCGAGGCATGCACGGATCTAGGGCAACTAGTGTGCTCACTCACTTGCCCCCTTCACACCCTTCTGTGTTCTCCCAACCAAACCTAGGCATGCATGGTACCACCACTGGAACTTAGCATACATACCCAGTTGCCCTTTTTGAATCCTTCTGTTCCGTGCTTTGTCGCCCCCAACCCCCATTTCAGCACTCATATCCCCATCAGTCACCCGTCGCATCAGTGCCCTTTCTCATGCGTTCCCTGTTTCATATGCCTTTCGTTTTAAAATATGTACAGGCCAAGATTCAGCGGTTCAAGGAGTTTGGCTTATGGCGAGCCGATCCAACCGGGACCTCGTGTCTTTGCCTCTCATGTCCAGTGCAGACTGGGGCAGTACGAGGAGCCTTGGGCCGGCACTAGTTATATAGCCTTAGCCCATATGCATTGCATGAAAAATAGGTGGCTATATATGTTTCCCTATGTTGGATGTGAATGGAAGCGAGGGGCACACTCAATCGAGCTTCGAATTAGTGTCGGAACAATACAAAACAGTTCCTGCATAAGGCTGATTGAACGTTAAACATTTGTCCTTGTATTCTGCCTTTTCTACAGAGCCAGGTTCTGCGTTCGCTAGGTTCCAGACCAGACGAGGCGGGAACAAGGGCGGGACGAGGGCAAGGTCCATGACGGCAAGCGCTGCAGCTGTCGCACGGGTCAGCTGCTGTGATGCCAGCAATGTCTGTGCTGGGCAGTGAGTGATGTCTGTTTGGGCAGCGACCAGCCAATCAGCGGTGGTGCTGTTCGCTCGCCTGCTTATTGCAGATTGCCCTTTCAGAGCGTGCCAGATTTTCATCCACTCACGCCAGCTCCCGCCTCGATCTGCTCGAATTTCAGTTGTCGGCGACAGACACTTGTCACTTGCCCCAGCGATAACCATGCACCAAGGGTCGTCGTCGCCAGACTAGATTCATCGTCTCAAGTGAAGAACGTCGCACGCTCGACGAATCGGTCGCCTAAGGGACTGTTCACATCTGTACGAACATATTCCCTTCCCAGCCGCACTTTCTTGTTTCTCCCCCACCATACATCCCACACCATTCCATCCCATCCCATCCATCCTGGCACGGTCATGATTACGAATTTGCGAAGGATGTACGTCATGGGCCAACTCGAAATATGATATCTACGAGCTATCTTTATAATTCATGGGCTTGTTTTTTGTGTACATGTTGATGAATAAGAGGAGTTCTCGTGTTCGTTCCTGACCAGGAACGAAGTGGTGAAAGGGTAACCCCATAACAGTTATTCGGATACGACCAACACCGCGTAGGTGAAACGTGAGCCCTCCCCCCCGCCGCCACCAGCAGCCCTACCCCCTCCCCCACGCGAACCCCCTTTCCTCCCCCCCTCCCCCACCTCCCCCACTCCCCTCTCTGCCAAACAGCTCCCCCCACTGGCGACGCACGCGGTCATCCAGGCGGCGCGCTCTCCCGCTTCCCCCGCCTCCTCCCCCAATCGCGTGCGCCGTGTGGTCAGAGATTCCCGCAGCAGGACAGCAGCAGCAACAGCAGCAGCAGCAGCAACCCGGCGCCGCCGTACCTTTTACACTTAAATTGCGCCATTGTCTCACCTAGCAACTTCTCAAGACGCGCTACACTTGCGCAAACGACGAGCTACAGTGACGGATATTATAAGGCCTAGTTGCGCAATCGACAAGCTACAGAGCGAAACACGACAAGCTACAAAGGAATAAGAAAACAAATCGCGTGTTAAGTGTACTGTATTGTACCCTTTCTTTTCCAACAGCACAGCACATGCTTGCCCCCCCCCAACTCCCTCCCAAACTCCCCCCTCCCCCCCCTCCCCCTTCCCCCTTCCCGTCCCTCCTCTCCTTCTCTCTCACATCCTAGCCCTAGCTAGCTCGTTGTCAGCCCACGCCATCCAAGCCCCATGATCCATCCCTCGCCAAGCTTTCTTTCATACCTCCAAGCTTTTCTCCCTTCTCTCATCCCCGGTAACAGTGACCCCATTCCCATCCCTGCAACCCTCCCTCGCATCCACCGCATGAGCTTTCCCCTCCAAGCAGTCCTGAGCACACTAGACCTGCAACCCTCCAACCCTCGTTCAAACCAGTTGCCGTTGTGGCTTTTTGCGAGTTTGTCTGGACTCAGGACGATTTTGCACCATCCCATCCTCCTGTTCGACGCCTCGTTTTGTGACGTTAGATCGGAAGCAATACCTCATAACAAGCCTGCATCCACTAGCGTTAGAAGAGCGACTTGTGCTGCAAATGGGTGATCTCAATTATAATCGAACGAGTATACGATTTTAGGGTCGTTCGTTTGGTCCCGCTTCGTCCTCCGTTTGCGTAACGCTAGCGGTTCATGGTGGTGATTCGTTTTAGCAACCACCCATACCCGATAAAAATAGCCTTAAAAATAGCCTTCGGATTTAAATTCTTAATTACTGTCCGATGGGCCCTCGCACGGCGGCCGGCGCGATGTGCGGGCTCGGCGTTCGCATGGGCTCCAAGACGACATTGTGCGACTCGAACAGGGCGGCGTGCGACGCGTGCGACGACGTCGACACGTGCACGTGGGCGTCACTTCCGCCCGAGCTGCTCCGCGACGTGATCGCACGCGTCGAGGCGTGCGACAGCGGTTGGCCCGCCAGGCGAAGCGTCGTCGCCTGCGCGGGCGTTTGCCGCGCGTGGCGCGAACTGACGCGGTATGTAATCAGATGCGCTTCCGCGGTTTTGAGACGTCTTAAAACAAAGCTGACGCGGTATGTAATTCCGTGTATCAGAAGCGTCGTCGCTTGCGAAAGCGTTTGCCGCGCTTGGTGCTTCATCCGGCGCTCGCGCAATACCGGCACCTTCACGCTGCCCCCCCCCCCCCCCTCCCCCCTTCCCCCCCTTTCCCCCCTTTCCCGCTCCTCCCCCCCCCACCACAGCGAGCTTCTGCAATCCCAAGTGTCCTACGAATCCCATGGCCAGATCACCTTTCCGGATGAGGTGACTTTTGAGTCGACTCAAAAGTCACCAGGTTACAATCCCAAGTGTCCTACGAGTCCCATGGCCAGATCACCTCTCCGGATGAGCTACGCCTTCCCCGCCCAAGCGACCGGTGCGTGGAGTGCTTTCATTGGTGCTCGCGCAAGCCGGCACGTTCACGCTGCTCTCCCGTTTCCCCGCTTCCCCCTCCCCCGCTTCCCCCTCCCCCGCACGCTCACAGAGAGCTCTTATAATCCCAAGCGTCCTACACAAGCCACGGCCAGAATGCATTCCCCGACGAGCTACGCCAGCCGGGCCCCAGCGACCGGTGCGTGGAGTGCTTTCCTCCCTCCCCTCATCCCATCATCATTCCCCCGTGTCCCTCCCCGCCCCCCCCCCTCCCCTCCCCGCACAGCGAGCTTCTGCAATCCCAGGCGTCCTACAAGTCTTCTGGGCAGATTACATTCCCCGACGAGCTCAGACATCCGGGGCCGAGCGACCGGTGCGTGGAGTGCTTTATTCGGCGATCGCGCAAGACCGGCACGTTCACGCTGTTCCTGGGCGTGCCGCCTAACTCGACGGAGAACGGCAAGTTCCTGCTCGCGGCGCGCAAGTGCGGCTGGCGGCCGTCAAGGTAAGCGGTCAGCCGGCTATCTCGATTGTTCGTGCTTGAGAATGGTTACTTCCTGTCGCCATTCCTTCCCTTGACAGCATGATATTTTCTGTTGATTTTGCGAATTTATTTCCACGTCAGCATGGGCTACGTGGTGTCCTGTTCTTCTACCCTCCCTTTAAATTCTTCCTTATCCGTTGCTCTTTTTTTTGTCCTCATCCATTTATTATCCGTCCACGTCAGCATGGAGTACGTGGTCTCGTTGGATCCGAAAGACTTTTCGCGCGGCGGGAGCTCGTTCGTCGGCCGCTTGCGGGCGAATTTCCTCAGCACGCGATTCGCGGTGTTCGAGTCGTCGCACGAGGTGAGAGGATACCCCTCCTGTAACACGGTAACCAGTCGGACGATTATCGGCAATCGCTTTCAGCACGCGTTTCGCGGTGTTTGAGTCGTCGCACGAGGTGAGTGAGCTGTCACTCTCCCGTGTATCCCTATCCCGTGCTGTAACATGGTAACATTCTGAGTAAGGGTGTTGCGACGACTTGAACTCGCGATCACCGTGTTCGAGTCGTCGCACGAGGTGAGAGAGAGTACACCTCGTGTAACATAGTGGACTCAGCCATCAGACTCGGCGAGCAGCAGCGAGGGAAGAAACTCTTAGCGAAAGAGTAATAGTTTGTTGTTACTATTTCGCACGAGGTGAGAGAACACTCCTCCCGCAACAAAGTAGATTCTTGATGCGCCTAAAAATTCGTAACAAGTTTGTTTTTTGAGGCGCCGTAAAAACGGTAACAATTCAGATTATCTTTCGCAACCACTTTCAGTACGCGTTCTCCCCCCCAGCCTGTGCCTTCGATCCCGCGCACCCCCTCCCCAGCCCCTTTCCCAGTCCTTCCCCGCCCCCTCTTCCCCCGGTCCCCTATCCCCCGGCCCTTGAGGCGCCTAAAATTGGTATCAGGTCAGATTATCTTTCGCAACCGCTATCACCACGCGTTTCCGCCCGCAGCCTATGCCTTCGATCCCTCGACCGCTCCCCCGCTCGTTTCCCAGTCTCTTCCCGGCCCTTCTTCCCCCGGTTCTTCTTACCCCGACTCTTCTTCCCCCGAACCTCTAGTTCCCCCGACCCTCTGGTTCCCCCGACCCTCTGGTTCCCCCGACCCTCTGGTTCCCCCGACCCTCGGTTTCCCCCGAACCTCTAGTTCCCCCGACGATTCCCCCGACCCTCTGGTTCCCCCGACCCTCTGGTTCCTCCCCGCAGCCCACGGCGCGCCCTCGTTGTCTTCAATCCCCCACCCCTAATTCCCCGCCCGCTCCCCGCTGCCCGCTCCCGCCCTTCCGCCTTGTCCCGCAGCCCTCGTTTTCTCTCGGCGCGCCCTCGTTGGCGCAAGGCGGAAGCAGCAGCAGCAGCCGCAAGGTGCACCCCGGGGGAGGCGCTATCTCCGCCAGCGGTTACCACTGCAGCGCGAGGGCCGGTTACTGCGGTTACCACTGTAACGCGGGGGGCAGTCACTGTAGCAATCATTGTGGTAACCACTGCGACTGTGGCAGTGCGGGCAGCAGTGGGGCGGGGACCCCGGTTGGCTGTAGCAGTAACAGTTTGGGCAACGACAACAGTGGCGGCTGTAGCAGCACTGGTATCAGCAGCAGTAGTAGCGGCAGTGGTTACCAGGGTGCTAGTAACAGCGCAATTGACGCTGACGCTGCCACGTCAGCAGCTGTATCATCAAGCCTCCACGACCATTCCCCGTCCCCCTACCCATCCCCCTCCCTCTCCCCCTACCCCTCCCCTTCCCCCGCTTCCCCCGCCCCTTCCCCCTCTGCCGCCGCGCGCGCCCTAACCTCCTGCATCTCCCGCTCCGCCAACAACCTTGAGGGGTTCCGCTCACCCCGTCTCCCTTCCGCCTCCGCGCCCCCTTCCGCCGCGCCCTCCCCCTGCCCCGCCGTCTCCGCCTTCTCCTCCCCCCAGTTCAAGCCCAGCTGCATCAGCAGTCCCTTCCCCGGAAGCGGCGCGAACAGCAGCGGGGGGGGCGGCGGTGGGGGGAGCAGCGGGGGGAGCGGCGGGGGAAGCGGGGGGAACAGCGGGCCTGTGGTTTCTGTAGCATACGCGCTGAACGTGCTGGGGGTGCGCGGGCCCAGGCGCATTCTGTGCACCTTGCACCAGGTGCCCGCGGGGGCGGCGGTTTCTGGCGGAGGGGGGAGCGGGGGAGGCGCAGGAAAGGGCGCGGGGGGCGGGAGGGGGAAGGCGGGGAGAGCGGGGGAGGGAGCGGGGGAGGGAAGGGGGAGGGGAGGACGTTGGGAAGGGGGGGTAGTGGGCGGAGATGGGGGGATGCGTCAGCAGTCGCGGGGACAGGGGGAGAGGAGGTTCGAAGGGCGGCAGCTGCAGCAGCTGATGTTGCTGGTACGGCTGCTGCCGCTTTAGGCATGGATCCCGTTATAAGCACGTCCGATATGGGGAGTTCGAGGAGCCTGCTATCACCGATTTTAAGCGGTGCTCCTTCGGCGAGGCTGGTTACCCCACCTGCTACCCCGCCCCCCGTTACCCTTCCGCCTGTTGCAACCCCTGTTACACACTCCGTTACGACTCCTGTTACAACCCCTGTTACGAACTCCGTTACAACTCCTCGCGTTACAATGCCTCCAGCTTCCCCTCCTCCTGCTACTGCCGTTGCTTTAGCCGCTGGTGCTGCTGCTGCTGCCGCCACCACCCCCCTTCTCTCCTCCCTGCTTCATCAAAACCCGTGTGACCAGGAGGGGCGAGATCAGGAGGAACGAATTTCTGACCATTCCCAGCCTGCCACGTGTTCCTCCTCTTTCACTCCTTCCCCTCTCCCCCGCGCCCCCTGGTCCCCCTCCCCCGCTCCCGCTGCTGGCGCATCCTCCGCCCCGCCCCGCTTCCCCGCTCCCCCCTCCCTACACTCCCCCGCTTCCCCTCCTGATGTGTTAATAGCCCCTGCAGGTCCCTCCCCCTCCCCCTCCGCTTCTTCCCCCTGCCCCCCCTCCGCCTCCCCCCCTTGCCCAGAGTTTCCCCCTTCCGCCTGCTCCTCCCTCCCCCCTTCGGCCCTGTCTTCCGCCTCCCCCGCGTCCCTTTCTTGCGCCTACAGGCTTAGTGGGGGGAAGGGAGAGAGGGGGGGGATTGTGAGTGAATTTGAGTGGGGGGGAGGGGAGAGAGAGGAGGTGACTGTAGAGGAAGTGACTGAAGGGAGAGAGGGGGAGCAGGAGGAGGGGAAAGGGGAGGAGGTAGGGAAGGGAGAGGAGGGGAGAAAGGACGAGACAGAGGAGGAGAGGGAGGACAGGGCAGAGCGGGCAGAGCGGACAGAGCGGGCAGAGCGGGCAGAGCGGGCAGGGAGAGAGGGTCAGGAGAGAAAGCAGGAGGAAAGGGAAGAGGAGGGTTTGCCGGTGGTGCTGACAGGTGGTCGAGAAAGGGACGGGGGAGCTGAGAGGGGTGGAGACGAGCCGGCACGAGAAGCTCGGACGCCACCCACGATCTGTACGATGGAACCGCTGGTGTCGTTCCCAGAGAGCGGGGAAGACACTAGTGCAGGCCTGACTGGATTAACTGGGAAAGCCGGGCTAACGGGACTTAGAAACTCTGGCCAGGGCACTAGTGAGGGGGGGAGTGGCGAGCAGGAGGGCAATCGGCAGGAGAGATATCTGCAGGATGGCAGTGAGGGTTGGTTGCAAGGCAGTGGTAATGGTGACAGCAGCAGCAGAGACCCCCAGATTTCCCCTTTCCCCGAGTCTTCCGCCCCGTTCCTCCCCCCGGCTGAGCTGGAGCTTCCCCCCGCCGCTCTGCCCATGCCCACGCAATCGCCTTTACGTGCGCCCATGCCTGTGCCCATGGTTGACGGGGCTCATGGCTCTGCATTGCCACCTGTATTAGAGAATGCGGTGGCTGCTGCTGCTGCTGCTGCTGCATCAGTAGCAGGAGCAGGAGCGGCACAAGCTAGAGCATGGGGAGCAGCGCAAGAGCCAGCATCACCAGCACCATCAGCAGCAGCAGCAGCAGCAGCAGTGGCAGCAGCGGCTAGAACAGGGCGGGCAGCAGCAGGAGTGGCAACACCAGCAGCAGCTGCTATGGGGGTGGCTTGGTCACCAGCAGCAGCAGCAGGAGTGGCGTCACCAGCAGCAGTCGCGGCAGGAGCAAGGGCAGCCATTGCTGTGACTCCCCCGTTTTCCTCCGCCTCTCTCACACGTGGTGTGCACACACCACGGACCGACGGACCCGTCTCCTCTCCTGCTGCAGCTGCCACCACCGCAAGTGCTGCTGCTGCTTCGCCTTCCCTTGCTGCTGCTGCATCTGCTACAGCTGGTGCTCCTGCTACAGCTGCTGCTGCTCATGCTTCTGATGCTGACGCTGATGCTGACTGCACGGAGTGTGACTGTGTGCGGTGTGTTGGCCGGGCGCCTCTAGAGCCCATGGTGCTGAGAAACAAGCCGCCAAGGTGGCACGAGCAGCTGCAGGTACGTTGAGAGGGGGTGTATCATAGGTGGGTGGAGTTTGCATGTGTGTGTGTGTGCGCTGTGTGGGCTGAGCCCCCTTGAAGGTGCTGCGGAACAAGCCACCGAGGTGGCACGAGCAGCAGCAGGTACTGCAGAGAGACTGTGTGCGTGAATGTATGTGTTGAAGGAATGGGACTGTTCGGAGTGTGACTGTGTGCTCTGTGTAGGGCGAGCGCCTCTCGGGCCCAGGGTGCTGAGGAACAAACCGCCAAGGTGGCACGAGCAGCTTCAGGTTCGTTGAGAGGGGGTATATCATAGGAAGGCGGAGTTTGCGTGCGCGTGCGCTGTGTGGGGTGAGCGCCTCTCGAGCCTTTTTGCTAAGGAGCAAGCCACCAAGGTGGCACGAGCAGCTGCAGTTGAGTGTGTGTGCATGGGAGGAAAAGGGTAAACAAGGGGGTGCGCTGCTGTGTGCGCTGCTGTGTGCGCTGCTGTGTGCGCTGCTGTGTGCGCTGCTGTGTGCGCTGCTGTGTGTGCTGCTGTGTGCGCTGCTGTGTGCGCTGCTGTGTGCGCTGCTGTGTGCGCTGCTGTGTGCGCTGCTGTGTGCGCTGCTGTGTGCGCTGCTGTGTGCGCTGCTGTGTGCGCTGCTGTGTGCGCTGCTGTGTGCGCTGCTCTGTGTGCTGCTGTGTGCGCTGCTCTGTGCGCTGCTGTGTGCGCTGCTGTGTGCGCTGCTGTGTGCGCTGCTGTGTGCGCTGCTGTGTGCGCTGCTGTGTGCGCTGCTGTGTGCGCTGCTGTGTGCGCTGCTGTGTGCGCTGCGTGGGCTGGAGGGCTCTAGAGCCCATGGTGCTGAGTACCAAGCCGCCAAGGTGGCACGAGCAGCTGCAGGTGTGTATGATTGGAGAAGGGGAGGGGGGAATGAGGGAGGATGTAGCCGCGTTTGCCTCTAGAGCCCATGGTGCTGAGGAACATGCCGCCAAGGTGGCACGAGCAGCTGCAGGTGTGTATGATTGGAGAAGGGGAGGGGGGAATGAGGGAGGATGTAGCCGCGTTTGCCTCTAGAGCGCATGGTGCTGAGGAACAAGCCGCCAAGGTGGCACGAGCAGCTGCAGGTATGGGTTTTTTTTTTTTTAAGGCGCCTAAAAAATGAGGGACAAGCCGCCAAGGTGGCAGGAGCAGCTGCAGGTGTGGGTGTTTTGGAAAGGGGAAGGGGGGAACCTCGCATTTCGCTATTACCCTGCCGCACCCCCATCCGACCTCCTCTCCTTTTGAGGCGCCTCAAAAATAGACTTTCACTATTACCCTGCCCCACCCCCATCCGTGAGGAATCTATTTTTGAGGCGCCTAAAAAATAGACCCCATCTGACCTCCTTTCCCGTCCCCCCCCCCAACCCTCCAACAGTGCTGGTGCCTCAACTTCAGGGGGCGAGTGACGGTGGCGTCTGTGAAGAACTTCCAGCTCAGTGAACGGGGGCCGGGGAATGATGTAGAGAAGCCCGTGATGCTGCAAACCCTTCTTCTCCTCTCTCTCCTCTCCTCCCCCCCCCCATGCTTGCAGTGCTGGTGCCTCAACTTCAGGGGGCGAGTGACGGTGGCGTCGGTGAAGAACTTCCAGCTCAGTGAAGGGGGGCCGAGGAACGACGCAGGTTAAACCAGTGCTGTTGCAGTTTGGGAAAGTCGTGCTTCAACTCCGTTTCTCCCTTCTCCCCTCTCCTACCCCCTCCCACCCACCAACAGTGCTGGTGCTTGAATTTCCGTGGTCGGGTCACAGTGGCGTCGGTGAAGAACTTCCAGCTCATAGAAGGGGGACCGGGGAACGATGCCGAGAAGCCGGTGCTGCTGCAGTTTGGGAAGATTGGGAAGGACACGTTCACCATGGATTACAGATACCCGCTGACTGCCTTCCAGGTATGCTTTCAGGTGTTTTTTCAGGTGTTTTTTCAAGTCTGATTTCAGGCATGTTTTCTAGGTTTGCATTCAGGTGTTGGTAAGCTTGAGAGTCGGTGCTCTGCTGCAGTTTGGGAAGGACATGCTCATCGTGGACTACAGATACCCGCTGACTGCTTTCCAGGTATCCTTTCAGGTGTACTTTCAGGTTTTCTTTCAGGTGGTTTCCTAGGCCACTCAAAAGCCACTAGGTTGACAAAGATATTTCCGCCAAGGACTGTAAATATCCATAGATTACACCCCCCCCCCCCCCCCCCCCCCCACCCCCCTTGGTACATATCGCTGTGCTTCTTGGGTTGACGATCTACTCGGGTAGATTGTAGGTATCCGGAGAGTACCCTCGTTGTGTTGACTCCCAAGTGGCTGACGTGGCAGTGACACCAGTCTGTGCCGGTGTTCCCCTCCTTTGCGTGCATGTGCTGCAGGCACTTGCCATCTGTCTAAGCAGCGTTGACACCAAAGTGGCATGCGCGATGGTTGCGGTGACTCATCCAAGCCTCCTGTGCTTTCCCCTCCCCCCCCCCCTTTGTGTGCACGCATGTGCTGCAGGCCTTCGCCATCTGCCTCAGCAGCTTTGACACCAAAGTGGCGTGCGAGTGATGGCGAAACGAATGAGAAGCCACGAGTGGCATGATGATTTTGTTCACGCATGCATCAACATCTCAACATCAAGACATTGGTATGAGAAACACCTAGAGGCGTCAACATTGGCATGTGGCATCGTCACACCACCAGCATCAGCAGCAGCAGGCACGCAAAAAGAAAAGGTCTCTGCAGAACCAACGGATACCATACGGACCATACCATACGGATTGAGCTGAGAGTGCAGAAGACTGGTGAGATGCACCATGATGCGGTAGTGGTGGGGATGGGTGAACTTTAGCTCTGCTATAGAACCATTTCATTTTCTAGAATAGAGGAACTATAACCTGTATTGTGTGTGATTTTACCAAACGGTTTGGCGGTTGGCGTTTGATGACAGCTGGACATGTGATGGCGAACCTTTGTTGGCAATAGTGTCTTTTTCTATGAACTTTTTGCTGTATTATATTTAGCCTTAGTAGTAAACTGCTCTATAGTTTCGATTTATTTGTGTTCTTGTTACCACCAATATTTGTGGAGTCGTGTGGCATCTGCTCTTATCGAGGCCTGCCAATTCTTTCCTCGCATTTTTGTCCCATTTTGCCATCAGTTCAATTGTCTCGAGATTCTCGCTTTGATCACGCTCGCTATCAGCATCGCACACTTTTACCACTCCCGCTTTACTCCATGGCCACGTCAGCAGGCGCTGCGCCAGAGGCATGGCTGCAGGATCAGCTCCTCGCGATGCGCGACTCGCTGCCGTTCCTCGATGCTGACATGGTGTCAGGCCTAGTCAGCTACTGCCCTCAGGCCTCCGATGCTGACGTGGCAGAGTATCTCTCGAATATCGTCGGCGAATCGGATCAGTCCATGGCCGTAGTTTCCGGATATTTAGAAAGGAGGCGTCAGATGCAGCAGGGCGGGTTGCCGGCTCAGCCGCCGCAAAATCTGCCGCGAGATTCGGCGCGAAACGCCCCGGGAAAGCAGCAGCAGCAGCAGCAGCAGGATTATAATCACAACAGATACAGTCACGAAAACCCTAACATCGAGGTGTACGTGAAGCCCAAGTTCGACGAAGCTTCCGGATCTGTCCCCGCGCCTTCCCGCAGGAGCGGCGCAGAGGGGAGGTCGGGGGAAGGGGGAAACGCAGGGGGAGCGGAGGTTCCGGGAGGTGCGGTGGCGACTGGCGCGGGCGGAAGGGTTGGCGGAGGGGCGGGGGGAGGGCAGGGGGAACAGCACGCGGCGGAAGCACGGGGGGAAGCGCGGGCGGGGGGAAAGCCGGGGGGAGAAAGCGGAGGGGAGGGGTAGCGGTGGGGTTAGCGGATCTTGAGCAAGGGCGGGTGTTTAAGCAAGGGGCGCCGTGCGACTGCCAGGCGGCGATCCATCACTTAGTTAACAACTGCTTAGGGTGTGGGAAAATAGTGTGCGAGCAGGAGGGCGAAGGGCCGTGTAAGTTCTGCGGCGTTCTAGTGCTTAAAGGATCTGATAGTATGGGGGTTGTGATGCCTGGAGTGGGGACGGAGGGGGAATGGGAGGAGTGGGGCGAGGCGGTGTTGGGAGGGAAAGGAGGGGGAGGAGGAGGAGGAGGGGGAGGAGGGGGAGGAATAGCAGGAGAAGCAGCAGCAGCAGCAGCAGCACTAGGAGCAGCAGGAGAAGGTTTATCCGAAGCAGAAGCTAAGGCGCTAGCTTTTAGGGACAGGCTAGTTGAATATAATCGCACCTCGGCCCAACGGACGGTCGTGATCGACGATCAGAGCGACTACTTCAAATCCAACGGTGCGGATGGCGACGGGGACGCCTGGCTGACTAAAGAAGAGAGGGAGATTTTGAAAAGGAGGGAGGAGGAGAGGGAGAGGGAGGAGGAAGAGAGGAGGAGGAGGGTGGTTGTTACGCTCGATCTGATTGGTCGACGAGTGCTAGTGGCAGATGGGTACGGGGCTGACGTGGCAGGGAACGGAGCTGACGTGGCAGGGTCTGGGGGAAGCAAACGAGGGCAGGAAGCGGGGAAGGAAGGTTCCGAAAAACGGACAACGGGTGCAAGTGGGGGGGGAGGAGGAAGAGGAGGAGCGGGAGGGGGAGGTAGTACTGGTGGAGGGAGTATCTTCCTGATGGGAGGGCTGGGAGAAAAGGGGGAGAAGCCTCAGGAGGATTCAGGTTTCCACAATCCAACAGTAAAGCAAGAGGTGATTTCAGGGATTAATGTGCTTATAAAGGGGGAGGTTGGGGGTGGGGAAAGCGGAGGAGGAGGTTCGGCAGTGGCTGGTTCGGCCCGAACCAGGCTCATGCCGAGCCCGAACCTCCCGATTGCAGCTCCGGTGTTCGTCAAACCTAGTGGTAATAGTAGTAGCAATGGTGCCGGTGGTACTAGCAGTGGCAGTGGTAGCAGTAGTAAAGGCTCTGCAGCAGCTAGTGCAGAAAGCGCAAGTGGGCAGGGAAAGAAGGGTGCAAAGGGCAAGAAAGGGCAGAGTGCGGCCGAGCTGGAGGGTGACAGAAGGAGAGGTGCTTATAAGGAGGCCATGGCTCGGCTGCAGCACGACTCCCCGTTATTAGAAGCTATGAGGGAGATAGAGGAGGAAGTGGGGGGGAGGGGGACGACTGGGGGAAGGGGGGTGAGGGGGGAAGGGGCATGGAGGAGGGAAGGGAGGGGGTAGGGGAGGGATTGGGGGAGGGAGGGGGGGGAGTGATCTGGGCCGTTCGCTTGACCCTACGGAGCAGCGAGATCGGGACGGCCCGTGTGGCGTCCCTGCTGAGCTGGTGGGGCTTGCTGACCTGGCGGATGATGAAGCTGATGTGGACGGGCGGTTTGACATCTGCCTGCCAGCTCACAGCTCGGAGCAGAAAGGAGGAAGAGGAGGGGGAGGAAGAGGCTTACTGAGAGGAGGATTGGGAGGAGTGGGAGGGAGGGGGTTGGAAGCAGGGATTGATGGGGGGAGAGGGGGGGTGCTGCAAGACGGACTGGTGCTGCTCAAAGGATGGCTATCGAAGCAGCAGCAGGTGAGAGGACACGGGTGTGATGGGGCATTGACTGCTGCATTGTGGCATTGCGTAGAGCAAGCAGGGTGCTACAAGACGAGGTGCTGCTGCTCAAAGGATGGCAGGTGAGAGATGCCCCAATGCCGTGTGCGATGGGGCATTGGGGCATTGGTCTTTGTGGCATGGCGTAGAAAAGAACATAAGCAGGGTGCTACAAGATGAGATGGGGCTGGTCAAGGGATGGCGCACAAGGAACATAGTCTCACATGGTCTTACAGCAGCAGCAAAAGCAGGAGCATGTGAAGTAGATGTTTCTTTTGCTTCTGTCTAACTCACAGAGTCGTACAGTTTGCCGGCACCTCTGCAGTTCCGTTTGAGTGGTGTGGTCCGAGGTCCATTTCGAGGCGTGAACTGAGACTGCTTTTTAGGCGCCTCAAAATCTGGCACCTCTGCAGTTCCCTTTGAGTGGTGTGGTGCAATGTCCATTTCGAGGCTATTTAAATACATTTATATTTCTGTTCACGTGTCCTTTGTTTTCCTGCCTTTCTTGAGGCGCCTAAAAAAACGACTCACGCTTAACCTGGGTGGCCTATCTCCCCTGCCTTTCTTGAGGCGCCTCAAAAATAGACTCCGCACACTTGGCCTGGGTGACCTATCTCCCCTGCCTTTCTTGAGGCACCTCAAAATTAGACTCCGCACACTTGGCCTGGGTGACCTATCTCCCCTGCCTTTCTTGAGGCGCCTCAAAAATAGACTCCGCACACTTGGCCTGGGTGACCTATCTCCCCTGCCTTTTTTGAGGCGCCTCAAAAATAGACTCCTCACGCTTGGCCTAGGTGACCTATCTCCCCTGCCTTTCTTGAGGCGCCTCAAAAATAAACTCCTCACGCTTGGCCTAGGTGACCTATCTCCCCTGCCTTTCTTGAGGCGCCTCAAAAATAGACTCCTCACGCTTGGCCTAGGTGACCTATCTCCCCTGCCTTTCTTGACCTATCCCTTGCCCATCCACCCTTCCTCCTATTTCTCCCCTGCCTTTCTTGACCTATCCCTTGCCCATCCACCCTTCCTCTTGTTTCTCCCCTGCCTTTCTTGACCTATCCCTTGCCTATCCACCCTTCCTCGTGTTTCTTCCCTGCCCGCAGATTGAAATCGTGACAGAGTGCCGGCGCCTTGGCCTGGGTCCTGGAGGATTCTACCGCCCGAAGTTTCTCAACGGCGGGCAGATGAAACTCCACATGATGTGCCTTGGGCAGCAGCACTGGGAGCCGAATCTCCGAACCTACCAGCCCCGCCGAACCTATGTAGATGATGCCGTACCTCCCCCTCTTCCTCCCTCCTTCATTTCGCTCGCCACGCAAGCCGTCTCTACTGCGCAAACCGCTGCCCAAGCCGCCTCGGGCAGCAGCAACAAAAGCATGATTCCAAACATGACTCCCTCGGTCTGCATTACAAACTTTTACTCTGCCCGGCGTGGAGCGCTAGGCATGCATCAGGACAAGGACGAGCCGCCCGTGTCGATCCGCCGGGGGGCACCAGTCGTCTCTTTCTCCGTCGGAGATTCAGCAGATTTCCTATTCGGGTGGCAAAGAGACCCGGAAAAAGCTGCTAGAGTGGTTCTGGAGTCTGGGGATGTGGTGGTGTTTGGGGGGGCGTCTAGATTGATTTTTCATGGGGTGCCCTGTGTGCATGGGGGCACGGCACCTGACTGGTTGATTGAGGAGACTCGGCTCAGGCCTGGAAGGCTGAACCTCACTTTTAGGGAGGTCTAAACTCCAAGTTTGGGGGATGTGGCAAGGGTGGGTGGGGTGGGGTGGGTAGGTGGGTGCCAAGTAGCTAGAGGTCCTGGAGTCTGGGGGTGTGGTGGTGTTCTGGGGGGATTTCTACCAGTAGATTGATGTTCCGTGGTATGGTACACCGTGTGTGCATGGGGGGGTCTTGTGGTGGAATGGATTGCATTGCGACATGTGAGGAGGCATGACTTGTCTAATACAGGCCGCAGTACTCTGGTGTGAGCCCTAACCCAGAGTAGCTAGAGTGCTACACAGATGCAGAAGGATGGAGCTGCACTTGTGCTACGGTTGCTTCTCTGCCTCGCCCTCTGCTACAAGCTAATCAGCCGCAGCCACCCCCCCTGGATCAGTCAATACAGGATCAGCAGCATTCCCAACCCCCCGTTACAGTCACACCTCCTAACCTGCACGCGCCTGGTCCCCGCCCACTCGACATGCCTCATGGCGAGGTGCACCTTGGGAGCACCCAGCTCCAGTGCAGAAGGGGACCTCTGCTCCACGGGCTCTTTCTGCTCCAGCACGTTCTAGCCAACTCCGCTTCGCGCCTTATTCAAAACAGTACAGCAGCGCGTGGAACACGTCCTTGCAGTTAGCACCTTGGGCTTGCCGCGGCTTGCGGCCCACCTCCAACCCCACCTCCTACCGTCACCTCGTGTCCCCACCCCCTGCCCCCACCCCCTGCCCCCACCTCCTGCCTCCACCTCCTGCCCCCACATCCTTCCCAACTAGATTCGCGTACTGCACACAGTACAGTACACTCAAACCCCATTTTTACTTACATTTTCAGAACCACCAGGATTATTTATGACGAGGCTTTCCCCAACCTCCCGCGCTTCCTTCCCCCCGGTCACCCCCCCGCGGCAAGCACAGCGCCGGTCGCGCACCCGCCTGGTTCGTTCCCACTCGACGCGCCACGCGGCGAGGTGCGCCTTGGGATCGCCGAGCACCCAACTCCAGTACAGCAGCGCGTGGAACACGTCCTTGCGCGCTAGCGCCTTGGGCTTGCCCTTGCGCCCAACCTCCTGCGCGCTCCCCGTGCGCGTGTTGCCCGTCGCGTTCAGCGCGCCGCCCGCACCCACCCGCGTCACCAGCCACGCCGCGCCGCGCCGCCCGGCCTCCAGCAGCCGAGATCGAATCTCCTCAGATTCGGATCGGTTCTGAATGTTCGGAGCGACATAGAGATAGTACCGAGCTGCGTAGACCAATCCTATTCCCTGGTAGCTGCAGTCATAGCCTTGCCTCTCGTAGTTAAAGCCCGCTGGGTCCTGCATCTCTAGGCCACTCTTGATGTACTTAATCGACTTCTGGATGAGGGTACGGTTGTCTGTTAGTAGCCCAGCCATTCCTAAGGCAGTCCCTGTTAGATAGCGCCTGTGCGTGTGAACCGCGTCGTATTTCCACCCTTTATCCTCCGTTTTCGATTCGACAAACCACGCCGCCGTTGCCGCGATGTGCTTTTCGGCTTTCCGCAGCCACCGCTGGAAGATCGGATGCGCCGCCCAGTGGGACGTTTTCAGCAGAAGGGCTGCCCGCGCGGCGGACTCCATGAAAAAACCCGCGCTGTGGTACACGTCCGGGCAGTCGAAAGATCCGTCCTCCCGCTGCTGGTCGAAACCCCAGTCGAAGATTTTCATTCCGATCCGGGCAGCTTCGGAGTTGTTAAACGCCAGGCCAGCTTGGATGAACAGGAACCCGTAATACTGTTCCTCAATATACCACTTCCCCGCCCCAGTTTCGTCGTACTTCTGATTATGTCGCGAATACGCGCCGTTTTCGTTCGCGTGGCCCTCCAAATCCGCGATACTGCTCACCGACCGATGCTTATCTAGAGCAGTGCAGATCGCGAGGGCTTTGTCCAGGCGAAAGTCGCCAGGGCAATCGACGTTCGCCGGCCATTCGCCGTAGATCCGCTCGTCAAGCCGCGTCAAAAACTCCCGCCCGAGAAACTTAGCGGCGAGCGGCTGAGTGGCGAGAGACGCAACCCACGTTTGCCCACCAGCTGTCGACCGAAACGTCGCGTCACGTGGCGTCGCGACAGGAACTGACGCCAGGCGTCTTCTAACGGGAAACGTCGGTTCGGTGGCGGACGGCGAACGGACGGAGTCCCAGATCCCGTGCGCAATAAACCCGAGCGCTCCGAAGAGATTCGCGCAAAGAAAAATCAGTATGGGGATTCGGCGAGGCTGGATGGTGAAAACCCGTTAAGATTCGAAGTCCTCGGAGTGTAGCGAGTGGATGATTTGAGAATGTTTTGAGATTTCAGTCTGTCTGGAGATTCGAGAGGCCTTGTTCGCTTATCACGGGGATCAGGGCGGCATGAGGATGTTTCATGCTCGGAACGACCATAACGAGGCGGGGCGCTTGTTGCACGAACTGGGCGGCAGACTGGCGGTGCTGGTCTGGTGCTAGATGGTGCGAGAGATAGGTAGGCCGCGCGAGCCGAGAGCTGTGGTGCGCCGTTGGGCGACATGGCCGCGAGTTTTAATATCCAGCCAGAGCTTTTACAAACTAGGAAAGAGACGCACAAGCAGCAAAAATGGATGGAAATGTGAGTTTCAACAGAAATGTGGAGCGTTTGGTGGCGGCCCAGCGTCGAGAGCTTACTGGAGGCGAAGCTGATGTGGTACACTTGACGCGCGGACCCGAAGCGGTTACACCCTGTAACTGCAGCGGAAGGCGGAACGGCAGGCAGGGGGTGAGTGAGAGGGACCGCAAGGGCGACCTGACCGAAGGTAGAAACGGGTAAGGCGTAGGAGATTCCGTGATGGGACGAGACTGGCCCCAGAATTACTGGGGGGGGGAAGGCGTAGGTGTTCTCTCGCCGAACCGTGACGCAGATGGATCGGGTTCTTGTGGAAAACCCCCGAACATTGCTGGAGAACAACATAGGGGAGCAAAATTGCACACTTAGCTTGTTTGTGAACGTGTAAGTGGGATCGAGTGGAATTACACACCTCCCTCTATCACCACTCTTAAAATCCCCCTAAACGTCTACTTTATCCCTAAACGCCCTCTTCATCTGGAATGAAGTGACTCCACCCGCATTTCCATTTGGTGGATGGAATCAGAGGAAAGCATGCGGGTAAGTAGTCCTCTAGCCTGAGCCTGAGCCTGAGCCTAAGGCTGCGGTATACGACCCTGCTTTCCAGGGTTGCGGACCCTCAAGGACGGGGATTGCATGGTTTTCAAAGAGATTCTCGTAGGTTATTGAGGTTTTCAATACAGTAAACTTTCGGTTCGCTGTGGTCGATCCTGGATAACAGGGTCGTGTTCTGCGGCCAAAGCACGCGGGTACAGAAAGTCCCAACCTTGGATGGATGCTGGCGGATGCGGAGGCACTGTGTGCCGCCCGTTATGGCACACTTTACAACCAGGAAACGCCCGAGTCCTGACCTGAGCCAAGTTTTTCTTGGACTCAACTGAGACCCACACCGCGTCGTGACTTGTCTTGACGTGAGGTGCTCGTCTCCCACTCGCTGCTGTATTGTCTTGAGGGAGAGGACTTTTTCGTTTCCTGGGTAGACGATGACCGAAAGAATTCGACGACTTCGCACTGTTCTGAAATTGTTGATGCTGTCCCCTTGGCCTTCATCCCCTCGGCGGGGAGATTTGGGAACTCCAATGAGAGTTTTCGTTTTCCCATAAAATTTCAAACCAACCAACAGTTCCCGCGAACCTTGTGAGATGATGGAAATGCAATGCTTTCATACTCAAAAACCTGAGAGCACTTATGCAGGGTTAGCAGCACTTACTGGTTGGGGGCACCAAACCCATACAGCATCCTCATTATAGGTGTACGGTATCACATTCTTTTTCTGGGGAGTTTAACCATGTTCTTGCAACACGCCAATAGCCATTTTTTCGTGTTTTTTTTCGCCTTTACCCGCTCTGATTGTCCAACCTAAAGCAAAATGGAACCCTCTTTGTCTAAGGGCGCTAGCATAGTGCACATGGTGATGAAGTTGGTCTATGTTAGAATCCTAGGCTTGTCATCCTGCCCCTATGTTCCATTCATGAACCAGAAACCGGAATTATATGGTCTAAATAAAAGTACACTATGTAGGTCATGAGAGATCACACATAACATGATGTGTGACAAATTCTAGTAGCACAATAACTAGATATCGCTTGTAGAAGGACGAATTTCATTCATAAGCTAACACCACACTCCTTATCGAAGCAACGGATGCAGCTACATTGCATGCAACCAAGCTGACTGTATTGACAGCTTCGCGCGCGAACGCTTGTCTTGAGCTTACGTCAAGGAACTGTTCAGTTAGGTGTTCGCGAAGGTTACCCATAAAGCCCAGGTCCCAAATTAATCAGTGTGGCCTTCAAACTGGGCCCAGTTTGATGTGGTTTGAGTCGGTAACCCAATCCACCCTAACCCAGACCACAAAGTGTCAAATATATATTTGCATGTTGTTATAGACTGCATTAGGTTGTGCCTTAGATAGTACAACCCATAAGGTTATATTCCCCTGTATCCCTCCTTTCGAGCATTCGTTAACATTGATATGGTATCATGAGTAGGTTAGGTCCCTCCCGCCCGCTAGCGCTTCCGCCCTAGGTCCTAGCCGCCCCATTCCCCTCCCGCTCGCGCTGGCCCGTCCCCTAGTGCCCCCCCCCCCCGTCGCCTAGACGGCCCCATAGCCCAGCCGGCCCCGCCTCCTAGCTGGCCCCGTTGCCTAGCCGGTCCTGTCGCCCAGCCGACCCCGTCGTCTAGCTGGTCCCTGAAGCCCAGCCGACCCCGCCTCCTAGCCGGCCCCGTTGCCTAGCCGGCGCCGTCTCTTAGCCGGCCCCGTCGCCCAGCCGGCCACCGTAGCCTAGCCGGCCCCGCCTCCTAGCCGACCCCGTCGCCTAGCCGGCCCCGTCGCTCAGCCGGCCCCGCCTCCTTGCCGACCCCGTCGCCTAGCCGGCCCCCACGCCCAGCCTTCCCTGTCGCCTAGTCCGCCCCGTCGCCCAGCCGGCCTCGTCGCCTAGCTGGCCCCGTCGCCCAGCCAGCTCCGTCGCATAGCCGACCCCGTCGCCTCGCTGGCCTCGTCGCCCAGCCGACCCCGTCGCCTAGCTGGCCCCGTCGCCTAGCAGACCCCGTCACCTCGCCGGCCCCGTCGCCCAGCCGGTCCCGTTGCCTAGTCGGCCCCGTC